CTGGTGCTTCGTGACTAGTGCAAACATTTTAATAATTCATGGTGTTTATATTAATTTAGATTCACGCAAAAAATGCTATATGCACCAGCCGGGAATCGAACCCGGGTCTGTACCGTGGCAGGGTACTATTCTACCACTAGACCACTGGTGCTTCGTGATTAGTGCAAACATCTAATCATCTATAGTGCTTATATTAATTTAGATTCACGCAAAAAATACTATATGCACCAGCCGGGAATCGAACCCGGGTCTGTACCGTGGCAGGGTACTATTCTACCACTAGACCACTGGTGCTTTGTTGATAGTGTAAACATTTTATTTTATATATATCTTATTATATTTTGCAATGCTGGATTCCAATCACTATAAATTCTTTTTGCACGAGCCGGGAATCGAACAAAGAAACATTCTACCACCAGTATTTAAATATTAAAGACTTAAAATGTATAATTAACACCCAACTTTATAGAATTAAGGTTGCATTAGATCAGAAGATGGATATCAAATCCATTAAATGTTCCCTCTTATATTTATACAAATTAGGAGAAAGAATTTTTCTCAACAAAATAGAGGATTTTTCTCAATAAAATAGAGAGATTTACTCATATAGTTAGGAAAATCTTATCTTCTATCAGTTTAAACCAAAAACCAATCCATCCATTGTAGAAGCAATTACAATCACCGCACGATGATAATATGGGGTTAAGAATGACATAAATCATCAATCTATTCTCAAGATGATATGACTCAATTTATACAATAAGGTTGCGACTAAATCATACAACTAAAAACTACTCTTGTTGGATAAGTCATGTCTCAAGTAAAATTGATATCATAATATCCACAACAATCGACAGCTTCAATCAATCACATTGTTTTCGTTAAAAAAAAAAAAGAGAAAAAGGAAATCAGATTGACAACCGACTTTGATTTTTTATTATATAAAAAAATAAAAGAGAAAGAAAAGAAAGAATGATTTTTTAAAAAAGAAAAAGTTGATTAACTATATTAAAGATTACAAAAACCTCAACCGAGAGGGTCACTTCCCTCTTCAAAAACACACAAAGACTGCTAGCATACCTGATTAACCAATTGATCTCCGCAAGATTTCACATCCACTGGCCGAAATCCCTCAACCAAAACCGCTTGCTTGTATACTATACTGCAAGACTGCATCCCCTCCCCCTAAACCATCAAAACAGAGATATTGATTGAAAGACAAATATAATAACAGAGAACGGAAGGATTCACACTTCCGCACATACACAATAAAATTATATGAAAAAAAATATGATCTCACATAATCATACCAAAAAGAAATATAACCTCACGCCACTCTCACATATTATATCCATTACTATGTATAAATCCTATAAGAAAATATCCAAAGAAAAATATAAAATTATAATTATATCAAATCAAAGAATCATTTCTTCAAGATGATAACATTTCATATTCAACTTGAAAACATTATTTCTTTTGTAAAGATGAATCTTCAAAGATTTTCAATCATAACCATAATTTGATTTTTAATTTTTTTTTCACATTTGTTTTCTTTTCCCATTGATAATCTGAAAAATTGTATCAGAACTATTCTAGATTAGAATTATTATAGACGTTACCATTTGACAAGATGCAAAACAGAGAAAAAGCAGATTGCAAGAAAGAGAAGAAGTTGACTTAGGTCCAAGCAAATACATAGCATAAAATATGCAATAACAATGTTGTATAAATCTGGATGGAAGTCAGCATCTTCATACTGCATATATTCTGATAGCAGTAGGATGGCTAATCAAGCAATCAACTAAAAATAAACCAAAAGTAACAAATAATGCAATGTGCAAGGTAAATGTAAGATGAAGAATTGATAATGACTCCAGAGATCAAAGCTAGTGACTTTGTACAATTCCAAAGTTTGATGTAAGATAGTACATCTCCCTGTAAAACATTGCTGAAGAAAAGCAAGTAGTAGACTAAATTAATCAAGAAACCTGAAAACCTAAGAAGCATGATATGCATTCTAAGAAAGAACACTGGTATAGGTTAATTTCTGATCAAGTTGACATAGGGCTTAGCATGTTTTACTCACAGCACTGGCAGGATATGAAGAGAAATCACACTGACTTTTCTTTGATAATCTGAAATAAAGATCAGCTCTTCCTTCAAAAGTAAAGCACCAGTGTAAGATATACAGACTAAGATACTGGTTTATGAATTAACAACAACCAAATCCTGTAAACTGTATGGTTTATAGTTATGTAACCCCGTCTGATATTATGGTATACTGGATCAGACTGACCAGTATTTTAAACAATGCAACATATGTCAGCCTTCTTGCTATTCCTGTGACACAAAGCCATCAAGATAACACCGCCACATTACTCCATAAACCCATCCTTACTGCCATAGCTCTGGTGGGTGTTGAGACTTCCATTTTCTTGTATTCTCTTGGTAGTTCTAATGCAACAATCTTCTGATACCTGCATCACAACCATGCTTGTCTTGGAAGTGATTCACATCTCATAGAAAATAGAAAAAGAAAATAATGAGGGATAAGTACACTAAAGAAAATGAACACATCAGATGCACCCTGAACAATTTGGTTATCAAAAGAAAGCACCTACACACTAGATCATAGAAAATATAGCTACAGATATAAAAAGACATGTTTCAGATGAAATCTAACAAACAATATTGAATCTGTCAGGACCATTGTTATTAAGAACTCACAGGTACACAAATGATTGATATTTCTCACCAAAAAAAACATAGTTTCTATTTACTGCTAAAGTAGCAAACGTAGCATACAATATTGCAATGTGAAACTTACATCAAGACAGAAGTCATGAGAAGTAAAGTTATTTGAATTGCACCAAAATGTGTATCGAAAAACTTGCAATGTAATGTATCAGTATATAACACCATATCATGTGCCAGGAAAATGATGGTAACCAATGGAAAAGGTGCATCTCTGTTGCACGTCTGTTGTCTGTCAATGTGTGATAAGAGTGTATCATCTAACCAGGAACAGGTAGTATGCACCTTTGGGAGAGATTCATTAGTGCATGCCATGGAATGTGCTAGCACATGCACAGATTAGCTTCACAAGTATTATGTCTTAGATTTTGGTCAACCCAAGTCAAAGAAAAAGGAAAAGTAATCCTGTAATCCCAAGTAGAGGGTGTCCCACAACATAATAATACAGTAATATCAAAGTGGGGAACATCACAACTCTCCAGAAGGACAGATCTGCAGCATCTCATGTTCAAGCTTCAGATGTAACAATAATAGCATGCAAGATTAGGGACACTATACCTAGCTATTGCTCTGTTATGCTAATTTTAGACAAATGAGATGTGATTGTCGTGGTTGAAGCCTCTCTCGATACAGGAAGTCCGAACCTGAAACAATATAACAGAGCAATTAACAATTAATAGCAGAAATCGATCATCTAAGAACTTGTTTAAGAGGCCAAGATAATTCTTCTTGAACTAGAGGCCAAGTAACTCACCATATGTGAACTCTGAAAACTTCAAATGTGCTCGACGCATACATGAAGCAAAAGGATAAGCAAACTTTCTTCAATCAAGTTGGAAATCTTGAAATATATCAACATATGAAGTCAAGTGGAATATCAACCTCAAAGTAGATGTTTAATATTAATCTTTCAAAACATAAATTTAGATATTTACAAATGATAATCTTTTTATTAAGATGTGTATCTACAAACATCTCCAGGTCAACAGCCAGCAAGGAAATGCAGCTTGCTTAACGAACACGTAAATGAAAAATAAGATATATACAGTCAAAGTTTCTAAACTTGAAAAACAAGATATTCTTAAGGTTACTAAACTGGTACACCAGGAGAAAACTTCAGAATGTTCAGAAAAAAATTGCACCTCCTGCACTTCATCCCAGAAGAATCCATAGAGTACTTACAGAAGTGACAGCCAGATGGTATCCCAACTAATAAACAAACCAACTTTAGATCATCATATTAACTTCAGATAGGTCATCCATGGGTATTTCAAGACCCATGAAATCATGATCTTGCAGACCATCGTCATCAATGTTCAACCATGAACCTATATCCTGTCCATTACCTCCAAAATCACCAACATCAAGCTCTGGCAGCTGCAAACTGGACAAGTCAATGACCTCACAATCATTTGATTTATCCTGCATCCTAAGAGAATGTGAATGCAAGGCAAGATCATTCTTTTTGGTACTTCCACCAACTACCTCAAATGGTTTCGTTGAAGTCAGCACTGTACCAGATAGATAAGCAGCCTTACAAGGATCATTAATGGAAGCAGATAACTGGGTCATCTTTTGTTTTGGCTTTGTTTTGTTCTTTCTTTCACCTTTCAAATTGAACAAAGCTGGACGACCAATTCTAGCAGAGCTATTCCTAGTGGATATATCCTTGTTTAGTGCCTTTCCCTCTCTATCTCTCTCACTCCTCTTTCCCTTTGTACTATTAACAAGAGAATTTCCATTACCAGAAGGTGTCCGAAAGGAACAGTGAGCTGAACTACCAACAACACTGTCAAGCAGTAGTTCCCTTTTCTTTATTTTATTTGACCATGGTTCCTCCTTACAAGGTGAATCTTCTGATAAGTGATTGACCGAGTCAAAAACATCAGAATACTTGTTATCATTAGCAACTCTCTGACCTTTTTTTGGTGTCAGGCTAGAATTACAATCTGCAAAAGAGATATACAGTTTATAAACAACCAAAAATATGACCTAAAATAACCAATCTATAGATTAATATATAAAATTCTTGAGACAAAAAATAACAGCTTTGACAGGAAACTGTAGAACTTGAAACAAAGTACCAGCTGATCCTTTAGGAAGGAATGTGATTGCTGATCTTGTACAAACAAAACCTTGTGAGGCTTGGCTTAGAATCAATTTGTATATAGATAGACGATAAAATTTGGCTTGTTTTGTAAAAGTTCAGCCTAAATTATACCAATTCTAATTCAAGCCTATGCTGAGCAGCTTGATAAGTTAATTTCATTTTAATTAATATCTTGCATTTTTCATTAGTCACTTGTATAAATTTCACTTATAACATGATTCAATTATATTTCAATCTAAAGTTTTAAGCTTGCTTCAGACTTATTTCTGAACCAATATCCATATTATTTCTGCGTCTACTACAAATTCATATCATCATAAAAATATATGTATATATATATTTATTTATTGAAACATGAAAGGCACTAATCAATAAGCAATTGAAGTCGGAATAAACAACTGTTGCATGTATTCCAAAATCATAATAACTACTTTTGTGAATGAATATAAATTTTATAATATCATAAGATGGCATTGAGACCAGTTATTTAGCATATAGGTCTATATGTACACACATGGACATATTCAATATAATTTTGAGCAAATTCAAGCAGAACCCAATAGCAGCAAGCTGAGTTCAGACTTGTCTTGAGACAAGTTTGAAGCATATTTTAATTGTTAATGACTAGCTGGCTCATAATTGAGCTCAGAATCGGTCCAAGCTTGAACTATTCATGAGTGGTTGGTTCAATTGCAAGCCCCACTACCATGCATTGAACAGGAACAGCTACATTCAGCAGAAAAGCTACAGTGGCACACATGAATATGGAATTTGTTTTACCTATGAAATTATTTTGCAACTGTGGTACAGTGGTGTAATGATTAGCAGGTTCTCCATCACCATTGAAGTCAGTGCATTCTGAATCACTGCAGTGGGAAGATGCAGAGGAGAAAATATCCCTGAAAGCCGGGCCACTGAAACAACTAATTCCTGTATCCTCAAACTTTTGGCATCGTGTTAATGTTTGTCTTACAAAAGATAATACAGCATGTTTGCTAAGTTCATTCACATTTTTGCTTCCAGAAACATTAGCACCCTTGCATGCCTGTTGCATGTAAAAGTCATGTTAATTAGATAATCATATTAACTGCAGGGGCAAAATAATCACTTAAGCTAGAAAATTAAAAAAAAAAATGGTACAGTTATGTGTAATATAAACGATGGTTTGTTTTATCGGTCCATACTGGTATACTGACCAGCTGTCGGTACCGAGTTACACTGAGCATACCAACACATGGTACATGGGGGCATACTGATGTATTGCTCATACCGGTCCCCTATTGGACTGGTACGTACCGCTCATACCGAGTGGTATGACAAATCTTGATATAAACTACATTTGAATAAAATTTATTGAGTTGTAAACTTCAATACTTGAAAATGATAATATACGTTACCCTTCAATTCTTGCATAATATATACAATACCAACCAGACCTAAGCCAAGTGATTGGTTCTACTCTTCATCTTGAAGAGGTTTTGGGTTGGATCCTTGAGGATGCAGTGCCCAGGTTTTTGATCTACATAATTTCCTAAGTGAAGAATCACTCGGTCTGTCATTCCCGGAAAAATAAAAAAGATGACATGCAGTCTCCATACTCAGAGGAGAGGATGGAAGCTCAATAGGATTGGAGGTTACTGCAAGGAAAACAATTCTTGTGTGGCAGAATGTATGGCCATGCTTCAAGGACTAAGGCTCAGCAGCTAGATCTGGCAAACATTCTGGTTAGGTCTGATGCTTTGGAGATTACTAATTTTGTAAAGGGTAGGACTACTACCCCATGGTTCCTTCAATCTTCAATTGCTAAGATTTGTTATTTAGAAGAGAGATTGAAAGCTGTTCAGTTTGAGCATATTTCTAGGAAGAGAAACCTGGAAGCCCATAGGCAAGCAAATTTTGGCAAATCCACTTGCAGACACTTTTTTTATTAGACAGCAGACACCACTGCTGCTAGTTTTGTTTTGGATGTAACTGGTTATTAAAAAAATGGTGTATCACCAAATACTATGGTGCTAAACAGAAAGTACTTCCATAATATGAACTCTTCATCAAGCAGCCTAAACAATCTAATAATGCCATTTGTCAAAGGAGGGCATTTCATCTAAAGCAATGCCAGATAAATAACAAATGCAATATGACTGCAACAACATTTGTCTACTTTCTACCTCTTGATGTTAAGGTGAAATCTGAAAGCTATTTAAATACCCAAGGAGGGTCACTAATAGAAACTTATATTCTAACAATGTTCATCTCCAGATAGGAACAAGAAATCATGGTCAACATTTGTTTATCAATAATTAGGGTCAACATTTGTCTACTTACAGATGGCCGGAATTGATGAATAAGAATGTAACTGGAGACCTCCAATACCATATTAATGTCTTCCTGAAACTAACTAATCAGAGGATCATACTTGAGCCTAACACATTCCCTATCTTGGGATGTACAACATGATGCCACATAGAAATATGATCAGAAGAGAGGAGCAAAAAAAGTTAGGAGATACCATATATTTCTCATATGCTATTGCTACAAGTCTGTCAAAAGCAATATACTCAAGTTCCCTGCAAAAAGAAGATAGTAGTCAAGAAGAGAAAATCAAAGCAAATCATACATATCACAAACAACTTGAGACAAGTTAAAATATTTGATTAGTTCAAATAGAAAAAAACTATTTTAACATACACAGCATCTCTTTCGTTTATCAAGGGTTCTACCAATTGATATCTTTCCACAAATAATTTAAATTCAATTTGTTGATATGCATCATCAAAATTTGTTTACTTATGGAATCCATCCATCAAGCTCTCATTAATGAACCTACAAACCCCTCAAATTGGATTTGACTAAATCCAAGTATTGTGGATATTCCTTTGTTTCTATCATTCTGGAGCATCTTAATCTTAGGCTTCCTGAATATTGAAAGATCCCATTATTAGCTCACCATTTATCAGACCATACAGATCAATCGAGCAACTATGAAATTTTAGCCAACTCCATATATGTATTTCATAAGTATGAACAGAAATGAGATAGAAAAATGAAGAGCATTTTTTTATGCAAGTTCCAATTTCAGACATGTACAAATGGAAATGAATTGATTAAAGCACTCCCAAATGTCATTTAGGCTTAGTCTTATAAGGAATATCAAATTTCATTCAATTTCTACCTATTATTATGATATTACAATCAGATTGACTGGGTACTCAAAAACAATAAATGGATTCAAAAGGATGAGATTGAATCTCTATAAATACGATAAAGAAAGATGAGTAACATAGAGTTTCCCTAGAATATGCTACATACCTTTTCTGAGACACTTTCGCTTCCACTACAGCCTTCTCTAGTTTCCTGAGGATGTTCTTCTTCTTCAATACCTTTTCCAACCAGTATAAAAATGCATTATTATCATACAAGCAGAAGATTAGTCGAAATATTCAATTAGATGCATTGTCTAATCGATATCTATAAAATATTTCTTTCATGAAAACAAGAGAACTTCACCATGTACTATCACTAGAACTAGAAGTATAACATGTACGTCTATACAATATATCAGATCTTCTAGCATGAGGCGTCTTACTAGTATATTACTACAGGTACTTGCATCAGCATCTCGTTAGAGAACCTTCATTCTCAAACTGTATACCATCTAGGGTCATAATCAGAAGCCTTTACAAGCAACTGAAAATAGCACTACTATCAAATATGACTTGAAAATTGAGATTTTAAGCAAGCAACACACATTATAGAGAACCTTTTTGTTGAGCATGAATAAGGGAGATAATTGATTAACTAAATCAAATATATGTATAAATAGTCTCTTAGTTTCAATGTTACACAGATTCTATCGCATATAGAATATATCAAGACAAGAACATCGCTGTTTAAGTAGGTGAGTATAAAGAAAACAGGTAAGAGTTATAAATTGAAGGATGATAGTGCAACTGTAATAATTCATGTTCAAAGCAAAGAAAAAAAGATGAAGGTTTTCGTAATAAAATAATATCAGTTTCTTAGAAAGTCAAATTGGTTGAAAATTTTGGAAAAAAAACTACAAAATAAGATGGTAGGTTGAGTTATGCATCTCACTTTCTGAAACTGATTGTGTAAAAAGAATAGCCTCCCTCGTTATTGACTGTAGCCAAAGGATTGGTCAATCTCAACATCTAGTAATTGGGACATGATGATGTAGAATGGTCTCAGTAGCACTCTTATGAAGTCCTAGCATATCAACAGCTTGCAATACCATGTATGCCTATCAGTCTAGAAGTACAAGCACTCCTTTGCCAGTGAAAATATTTATGGACTTTATGGAACCAGAAAAAAAAGGCCTTGTCTTTTCTGATTGCATCTAAAATTATGTTACATTCTCACACTTGTAGAATGCAATTTGTAATGCTAGAATAATCAAACCATCCTGGCTTAAAAAAAAAAAATACAAATCAGAATTTCATGTTCATAGAAATAACCAAACACCCCAAAGAAAGAGCACCTAAAGTCCACCAGAGAAATCTCAACAATAAAAAAATATGCATTGCCACTTTACAAGAGGCCACCAAAGATTATGCATGAGGGGCAGCAAACAAGTTAAATATTCATAAGCATGACCCTGAACAAATAAAAAAAATCTCTTTAAAATGGCCTTGATGGTTACATAGAGTACCTGCTCATGAAGCTTTTTCTCTAGATTATTGATTCCTCTACTGAGATCATCTTCACTCTGTGCTAGGTCAGGCTGGAACATAATGTATATAGATGTCAAATAGTACAATTCTTTTTCAAATTATTATGCAAATCTAAGCCACAACTTAGACAAAAATTATACGCACTGCAAATAACAAGATGAATTTGGAAACACCATTACGAATGATACTCAATAATCTGGCTCAAGAAGAACCAGTTGTATAATTAATGAGGTTAAACAACAGGAAATTAAAACGAGTCAGATATTAAGAAGACTACGACAAGTTAACCAGAGTGAAAAGGATAACATTACGGGTGAAAGGGTGGGTAAGATCATGCAAATTCATTTTTCCATCTGACTGGGTCTATCTTGTATTGTTACATATACATATATATATGACACAAACCAATTAGTATTTACATTCAAATTATTGCTACTATATCCATAGTTCGCATTACCAGTCCATACCGGTGTACCTACCAGTTGTTGGTATGATACATATTAAGTGTACTGACATATGGTATAGCAGGGCATATTGATGTACCACCTATACTGATCTTCTATCGGACCGGTACATACTGCCCGTACTGAGCGGTATGCCTCGGTACGACAAACCTTGATTATATCTTCCAAATAGTTGTATAGGTTACTTCCATCTTTTTTCGTTCCAAATATATGCCAAAGTGCTGAATTTACTTTAACCTAAGATGTCATTTATCAATTTTTTTGGTCCAATGTGTTCTCCATTTTCTCATTCTCCCTCTCTTTGCTTTATGGTCTCCACAGCCTTATATCGGACTCATGGTGGGTTTTAGTTAGTGCCATTTTTTAGAGTACAATACTAGATTATTATTTGGTGATATCTGACTCATGTAAGAGTCTCATCTGCCTCAGCCTTATATCTGATTCAAAATAATATCACAACTACTTCATATTAAAATAAATATGAAAGCAAATTATACTATCCGTTAATAGCAACAAAGTTCAGATTTCTTGTTAATATCAATAGAAGTGTGTTTTTTTTTTGGTATTGGTATATACAATATATGCACCTTTACAACTAAAGAAGATGATGGGTATGAAAATGAGAATATTTGTCAAAGGAAATGGTGTTGATCACATCAGAAATGCAAGAGGGGATACCTAGCCATCACAGGATTGAATTTAGCAAATAATCCTGTTCAGTATATGGCAAAGCTTCAATGTATAAAAAAGACCACAGACAAATTCTAGAAGGAAAACAACAGCTTCATCAACGCCAAAGGACCACAAAAATGGAATCAACAAAAAAAAAGTGCCGTTGCAAATACAAGATCAAAGTGGTAATAGATGTAAGTGTAACCTTGTGTTAGATGTAAGCGAAAATACATAAATTGATCACACAGAAATGGCAAACTTCAGATGGAAGAGCAGAAATTACATAAATGGCTATATTGGGCTAAATTATTTGTATGTCTGCATAACTATTTAGAGCTAGTGACAGTTTGTGCCTATGACAACGACATCGCACCAAAACTCCAAAGTCAAATTAGAAACATCCAGAACTTCTATTTTAAACAATGAAAACATGCTTTTAGATACCAATAGCACATACCACAGGATCTGGGTAGAGTCCAATTTCACTGAGCTCCAAGAGGATTCTATCATTGATGCACATTTGATTGTACTGGAATTGGGTGCATAATGTGCTAGCCTCTAGAAATGTACCATTACCTCCCAATTTCTGATGTGCTAGTTGATCATAGCACCTCCAAACAGCATTGACCTTCAAACCATTAGCCACACCTCTCTCAGCAGACTCCATTGTCCTTGATGTCTGCAAATCCAGGCCATTGTGTTTAGTCTCCACCTCAAGCTCAAAACAACTTCCATAAGAATTGAAGAAGCTAACTTCGAAGTTGCCAATGTTTATATTTTCGATCTCCTCTTCTTCAATAATAGCTGAAAGAAGTGTTTGGCAAATTGAAATCCCTCTTTGCTTCCCAATTCCATCAAATAATTGCTCTAGAAAAGGTTCAACTTGCTCTTCTGGCCAAATAAACCCTAGATCCTTCTCGTATTCATTAATTCCAAAACCATTGGTTGCAATACCATAGCAATCTCTATTGATTGGAGTTGACTGCAGTGGGACATATTTTAGATCCCCCTGCGAAGAAAGGCAACCAAAATTTTCTTATGGCAGAAATTAAAAAGAAATCAATAAATTTATTTGTATAAAATAAAGAATAATAATTTCAAGAAGAGAATTTCTAACACTAAGAATATTAAAAAAAAAGATGACAACGATGACGACAACAACAACAATAAGCCAAACAGTCCCTGTATATGAGGTTGGCTACACGGAATTTTTCCACCATTGAGGACAAAATAAGATGCCATTGGATACAAATACAGCTACTAATTACTTCTAAAAGAAATTTTGCATTGCTACAATGAAATGGCAGACATAAAGCTAGCAGATATGAAATAGAAGCAAATAACCAACAAGTATCTAAACAAGTACTCATGAGACTCATGCTGAACATATCTCGACATGAATCCACAAATTATGTGTCACTTGCTGTGCTGCACTGCACAAGATGCACCAGTGGCATGCCCGAGCCTGTTCAAGGCTTAATATGTGAGCATGATGCATTGGTCTGCAACTTGGCAACCAGGATTGCAAATAGTTCATAATCAAATGTGACTAGAACAATGTCAGATGGACAGGTCAAATTGAATGGGATACACCATTACTTAATTTATGAGGAATTTAATACCTTCAAGATATGGTCATCATTTTCTGCAACATGGCCCACTGAAGTAGATTCATTAATAAGATGAATCTGGTTGGAGTAGTTTGGGAAAATCAACATTAGCGCATGAAGTTATCTGAAAGATATGAAACAAGAGATTTGGCCTTTTATTACCTGTTCATTCAAAAAGGTGACATCTTGTAAAGACAAAAACCGAAAAATGGGCTCGATTGTCTTCCAAAATGTACTGGGACAAGCACCCCCTGCATAATTTTATTATAAACTTGAAATACAAATATTGGTTCAAGAATTGCAAAGGAAAAGACAAGAATTTTTGTGGAAAATGTGCTACTTGTATCCAGAGCAGCACTTGCTGCAGCTAAAAGCACTTCATGGTCATTAATGGGTTTCCCTGAAATGTATAAATTAACAATCAAAAGTATGTCCTATGCATATGAATGCTTTTGGAGAAATAAATAGTTTCAATGATATGATTCCAATAATAATTTTACCAAAAAGGTCTAAAGAAGCATCGTTCATCAAGTGTCGTGGATAAGAGCGTCCCCTTTGTTCAGACAATTTTTTGATGGGTGGCCTACCAGTTTTGCTGATTAAAATGACATGACAGTTAAACCCTACGATTTGAGTCAACAGAAATTTAATTGGTGGAGATAATTTTTATTACCTCTCAATCCTCTCTGAACCAACTCTTAAAGTTCTTGCCTGTGATAAAGAGGCAGCATTATCTGCCTTCTCCATTAAGGCACGTATGCCAGATCCTTTGGGCATTAAACCTCGTACAACCCTTCCCTGTCTGTGGACACCAAATCCAAGATCCCTGTGAGCAGCCAGCTTTCTTTTTTTAGAAGTTGATGCCAGTGTCACAACTTTCTGTAGAGTCTGACTAACATTTTCCTCTACTTCAGATTTCTTAATTTTCTCTTTTCTTTTATTTACAGCAACTGCAGTCTCCTCACTTTCTGACAACAACTCTGATGGTATCTTTTCACCCTTTGACTTAACTTGAACAGTGTTAGAAGATAACCGTCTTGTAAATCCTGAGCTACCCTCTATGCTGATAGAGTCATCTACTGTATCTGAAGAAGGGGTGTCAAGATGGTTGGAAGTAAGGGGACTTAAATTTGATCTTCTTGCACCACGTGATAACTTTTGAGGCCTTTGTCCAACCCACTGTGCTACAGGTGGAGATGATGACTGTTCACTTATAGACCGTTTGCGGTTGATGGCCCCATTGACTGAATTGAGCTTGCTAATACATTGAGGCTCCCAACCATCAGAGTTTTTAAAATTTTGTGGAAAATTCCTAGATGCCTTTGACAAGGAACCTGAAGTTGATCTTGGTCCTCGAGGAGGTATCTTTGCATTAGAAGTAGGGCTAGAACTACAATTTTCTTCACATTCACTGGATCTGAAACTAAAGCAAGGAAATACATCAGGAATATAAGATAACAAAAGAAATACAATTTGAACGAGTGTAAAGATCATGCATATGCTGGTGTCTTCCGGCAATAGAGAGGACCAGAACATGTCATGCCAATGGGTGGCATGGGGTTGACATGAAACAATTTCCCTACAGGGTACTTATCATGTGCCGACATAAAACAGAAATCAGTACTACTGAGCCACCAAGTCATGATAGAATGGACTTGGCATGCAACACTTTTAATCCTTACTTCCAAATGATAAATTGATAATGCCAAATCTCATTTCTTAACAGGAAATATACATGTGAATATGATTTGAAATGCATGAAGAATTCCAGTTACTTGTTGGTATGGACTGCAGGTGTGACATATCATCAACTTTTGGCTTGATATCAACAGCGGGCACAGTGCCATTTTAAACCCATGCACACATTAGTTTAGGTGTATTCTGTTCCCGACACCATGTAAAACCCACTTTTTCAAATCTATACAAGTAATTGGAATTCTTCATGCATTTAAACACTTTAATCCTTACTTCCAAATGATAAATTGATTATGCCAAATCTCATTTCTTAACAGGAAGTATACATATGAATATGATTTGAAATGCATGAAGAATTCCAATTACTTGTTGGTATGGACTGCAGGTGTGACATATCATCAACTTTCGGCTTGATATCAACAGTCGGCACAGTGCCATTTTAAACCCATGCACACACATTAGTTTAGGTGTATTCTGTTCCCAGCACCATGTAAAACCAACTTTTTCAAATCTATACAATGTGAAACCCCCTTAACCTCCCTCATTTTTGTCCTACATGTAATATCGGCTCCCAAATGCAAACTGGGCATGCCCTGATATAAATCAGTTGATGCAAACATATACTACATCTTGTTATTTAACTTTGTGCTTGTTTCCTTAATTATGACGAAAAACAATAAGTGTCAATAACTGATAACCTTGTCGAATAAGAGAAGCTTGGACTTGACAGAGGAGACCACTGCCAATCGTCCTCAAAACCTTAGAAGATACGCACAGCGCATGCCATCAACACAAAATGCTAGCTTACTAATCGGAGCATGATAGAATGCCATAAAACCAATCCTGATTTGAAATTTATACTATTAACTTGTGTGCTTCAACAAAAAAAACAATTACTAATATTATAAAATTTGGGGTTCAACAGTCACCTCTCATATTGATGAAGTAAGTGAAACAATGTATCAACATAAACTTGAAATCCGATAAGACCTAGGAATTTCCTTTATCCTTATGTGCAAAATTTTCATTTAGTTATTTCCTCAGGACCTCTAGATCCTAAACTACAGAGAACTCTGTAAATTAGGGATTCATGTATGAGGTTAACAACATACTGATGTTGGAACCCTGAAAATTAGAAAATGAGAAGTCCTCTCAAATGTATAACTAGTTAGATAGTGACATTTAGGACATCAAAGAATTAGGATCTCCACTATAACATCAAACGAGGTAGAGAAAAGGTCTTTGAGACACACATAACCTTAAGCAAATCAAATTGATTGAAAATTGGAGCACATCAGAGAATCACAAAGTTATAGACCTCAAAGTAGTAAACATGTCTGATCACAGAATTAAAAGGGGGCAGGGGCAAAGAAGCAAATTTTCCATGTGCCCTTGGAAATTGACCAAGACAAGACACACAGAGTGCTGTAACCAAAAGTGCTAGTTGTGTAAAACTGCCTTTATGTAAAACTGGTCCAAAATTGCCTAGGCATCATCTGGAGATGAAAGGAAATTTATTATGAAATGCCTTGCTATTTTGGTATCCTATATAAAGCATGAAATCACCATCAATACACAAACTAAGTTCTCATAATGTGATATCAAGTCAAACCTGAAAGTGTGGTTGTTCATTTTTGGTTTGCCATCAAGCTTTTGCTGTATTCCTCGTTGTTTAGGTTCACAATCACCATTTGGAGGTCTAGCCAAAACTATGCTTGTAGAAATATCTGACTTAACGATTGAACGCTTCTTCTTCATCTTGGACTTTGCCAAACCATCAGCACATCGTAGTACTTGAGCTTTTTCTTCTGGTAGTGCAGAATTACCATTTGCAAATTTGGTGACATCTTTATCCCTATCCACCAACCCAGATGATCTGCCAATACTGTTATCTCTTGCATCCTTCTAATAGAGAAAAATATATATTTCTTTCAATGATGAAAATGTGAAAATAAAACAATGAACAACATACTTGAAACGTACATAATGTTGCAAGATTTAAGGAGTCCAAATGGTATCTATTGCCTACTGCAACTAAATATGAATGAGCTTAGAAAAGTTATTTCAAGAAAAATATTAGCAACACTTTCCTATTAAAATAGTGTCACAAATTTTCAGGCACATATTGGGTACAGAAAAAAATTAAAATAGAGAAAGGAGTCGAAGAATGAAAGAAGAAAATTTCATTAACAAATTGCAATCTGTATGATAGAGACATATAACATGAGATATAATCATGTAGCATAAGCCATAAGCAAACAACAAATTGCATTAAATTCATCTTATTCATAAGGAATTAGTTTCAATATACAAGCACAGCCCAAAATGCTCCTGCCACTTGTGGATCTGGAAAGACTAAGGTGCATGTAGGCAAAGCATCTAATTCAGTTAATTAACAGTACAAAACATACAGAAATTCAAATATATATTACCTTAAAAAATCATAGCAGGAAGAAAAGTTTTACAAAATGTGAAAAATAAAATTCAAAATACCATCAATGTAGTTCGTATTCGTCTGTTTGATAGAGCACTCTTGGTCCTTTCATCTGACTTCAGTAACCCAGGCTCAAGACTAGCTGCAGTTGGCAGGCCTTGAGGGGTTGTCTTAGAAATATTTCCTCCTGGCGTCAATGCCATAGGCCTCTCGCTTGATGAAATATTTTGTTGGGAACATTTCCTTGATAAGTTATGGCGATGCTTCTCAATTTTCAAAGCAGCATCACTAAAGGCTTTTACACGATTCCTTTTACATAAAGCACAGAGATTAACAGCTCATTAAAAGCACTATAGCAGAGTGAGCAGCAGAAAATTTGGGCACAAGAACAATTCAGAACATTATAAATGGAAGAAGAAACATTTAATGCAACAAAATGTCAGCCTCTTCATAATGATATAAAAAAGCAAAACTTTGATTGAAAGTAAACAAGAAATACCTCGCTTTAACAGAACTCTCATGAAGGTTAATCTTCATTCGTTTGATGTCCTCAACAGATGAAGAAGGCAAGTGTCTTGCGGAAATTGTTTTAGCCAAAGATTCTGCTGAGGAGATGCCAAAGATGGAACTTATTTCTCTCTTTAGCTCTCCTGGTCGAGGAGACTTATGATCAAATAAAGAAACTTTCAGGTCAGATATAAGCGATTGACAAAGATTAGATGCTTCGCCTTGAGATGGTATGGAAGTAGATCTTGGCATGCTTGTGAGTGGTGATGGGATGCAAACATCGATGACCTCATGGAAGCTCCCTAATCTTTCCATCGAACTGGTTGTATAAGGTCCACGTTGCCCATTTGAGTAGGTTGAACCATCAGGGCTGGTGGAATAGTCAAAGCGATTAGTTGCCATTCTTTGAATCTCTTGAGACTCTTTTTGCAAACCAAAGTCATGGACAATTTTTCATCCAAAAAAAAAAAGAAGAAGAATCGCCAGAATTCAGTAAAGGCTAAAACCAATGGTCACCAATTAGTGAATGCAGTAACAACTGCCATAATTTGCATTTATCATGCAAAATCAGTGGAAGAGAAGATAACAGATGAGTGCCAACAAACTTAAAAGCACACACAATAACACAGAATTACACATATTCAATCATTATAAAATGAAAATAGTTGAACTATAGCTCTTAATGTCAAATTTTAATTAACTGAAAAAGACAGGTATTCTACATGTTCTAAATAAAAATTGTGAACATAAATTTAAAGCATTTCAAAATATGATCATAACATTGTTGTTTATTGTGCTCTCTTTATTTCGACTTGATTTCCCTTCTCCACTCATTTCAGTGTATACTTTTAATTACAACAAACTGGTGTAGGAACCTAACTGCATGTCAATTAGCACACACTGAGAGCTTCTGCAGCAGCACTGCTGCGGGAAAATCTGGAGCAATAAAACAACATACAGCACAAAACAAACTACCATATTGAGGAAAGGTTCAGAGATTGAAAAGAAGAAAACAAATATCCTTAAAGGATCCTTAGATTGCCTTCTTTCCATTATATAAAAAAAAAAAAGCAAAAGCATAATTGATTAACATATTAAGAAGGTAAATCATTTTTTTATTAAAAATGACACTGAAACCTAGATTTCACTTGAGAACTCATTGCCCCACCAAAGATACTTCCCAGAATAAGATCACCAATCCATGGATTCAACTACTATAAACAGAAATCTGATTGCAAACTGATCATTACAATCTGATAAACCATTGAACATTTCATGGCCCAAATCCATCTCAAATGATCTTATCCTATAAAAAAAGATCAAGGTTGACCAAAAATTCAAATTCGAATATTGCACTAATATCCATGACTCTGGCTATTGTCCTAAACTCACGTCCGATATATATGTATATATATGTATATATATATATATATATACATATATAAATATACATGTATATATGTATATATATATACATATATAAATATACATGTATATATGTATATATATACATATATGTATATAAATATAAATATATGTATATTTATATAAATATATGTATATATATATACATATATGTATATATATATATATATATAATGACGATCGACACAGCACCTTACACCCCCACGTTGTTCTCGGTCTCTGTATGAATCTAAATTCCACTGAAACCCCAACATCTTTCAAGGAAATCAGTAAAACCACCAGTAAAATAGCAATCAGCTTCATCCTATCAACAATTCAACTATCAGGCAATCATACAAACACAGATAATAAGTAAAATTTCGTCAGAATCCACCTCAAATGGAAGCAAACAAGATGATCACTCGGAATAGAGGCGACAACAGGAGAGCTCACCTGAGATCAGCTAACCGCCGCTAGGTTTTGATGAGACTCTTGATTCCTATTCAACGATCCCCACGAGTGGAGCACGGAGCGGAGAGAGATCGGCGGGGTCCGAGAAAGAATCGAAAGGAAGCAGCAAGAAGAAGCAATCGACGGGATCGATCGAACCCTCTTAGATCGAGGCGGGTCGCAGAAGCAGCAGCAGCAGCAGCGGCAGCGATTCGAGGGTCGGTTTGGGGAGAAAGAAATGCGACAGTCTTGGAGTCGGAAGCAGCGATATAATCTCACGCTTTGGACGTAGTTTGACGGTCAAAAGCGACCGGTTTGTGAGCCTTCGCAGCTGGCGGTGCGCTGGAGACTCATGCTATTTACCATTGCTGTGGTGCCATGTGATACATGCATGGCTAGTTTAAGCCGCAATCGTAATTTAATAAAGTTTTAAGTGGCAATTGTAGTTCAATATATCTCACATTCTTCGAGGATGCAATGGACTTCTACCGTGAAGTGTGTGACTTTAAATCTGGACATTATTGAAAATATTACATCTCTTAATAGGATTTTTTTAAATGCTCTTTTAATAACCTTTCTTTTTAATTATATCGTCGTCACATCATGATTTAACCCCAGACCTCAACCATTTTAAACGAGCAAGCAAACTGTCCCCATTTCCAGTTGCAAGTATTCTATTGAGTTACTTGTCTGATTCCGTGTCATGATCGAGCAGCAATAGTTGTTTCCTGGCTCGATCGCCTCTCACCAAATTATTGGAAGTTTGTCTTGTCAGCTTTTGCTAGTTACTCATGACTAGCTATAAGACAACTCTGTTAAGCTTCCGAGGAAGGGAGAGAGAGAGAGAGTGATGAAGTCACACATGTGCTGTTTTTTTTTTTTTGGCGGGAAAAAAGAGAGATGCAGTAACTTCATATATGGGCCAATCAATCAAGCTGAGCACAGCTAATAATTACTTAAAATGAGATGCAATGATTGCTACAAAGGCATCCCTACTAACTGAAATATACAGAGGAACTACACATGCAATTAATTACTAACCAGTTTGATAGAGCATGATACACAAAGTTCAATGCAGTTAGACTAACACACTTTGTCAGATGGAAGTATAAAATAAAAGAAGGATCGATGAGTGCTTGACTAATTAACTACAGCAACAGAGTAGACAAGCATGGAGTCATAAATGTAAATATGGATTTCTCGGACCATAGTCGAATTCTGTTTCAGATGAAGGTAGCATTTGCATAGGCCCTACCACTAGCAGTTATCGAGAAACCAAGTTTCAAGGACTTAACTCTTTGGTTTTGCCATTGGAGGAGGAGTGCTGGCAGTAGTTCTTACTGCCTTCCTTTCTTTGAACTGCAACTCGGGCACTTGTATTGCTTTATGCTCTCAGCTTTTGCAGGAGTTATCTTCACGCACTTGCCATGGAACCACCTTTCACATACATCACATGCAATCCAAAACTCATCCGCACTGTAGCTTCCACCACAAGCTCCACAGAGTGTTTCGCTGTGTTCGTCGTCGTCTTCACCGTAACCCTCATCAGCTGTTTTCGAGTTGCTTTTTATCTGGCCATCACTGGTGCGCTACGGGGAAGTAGTTATTGGGCAAGGATTAGGAAGGGAAGCAGAGACATGTGAGAGATTCAAAAATCATTACCTTGGTTGCCGTTTTAGATTTGCTTCCACTGTCCATGCTAGACTTCTCTCTTGATTGTCTCCTGTCTGAAACCACTTCGAAGACAGATGGAAGCTCATTGATCATGCTAAACAAGCGTTTCCTGTTGGTATGGAGGACAAAAAGATGTTTTGTTGTCAAATACAAAGTAATCAATTAGAGTACTGAGCTTCAGTGCTCGTATTTGATGCAATTCATCTTAAATCATGTTTTTCATTTTACTGCCAAGACATGTAGCTTATCTGAAAGTCCAACAACCAACTAGAGATGTCTTAACAATTAAAAATGAGTGACTTGTGACTGCTGGAGAGATTATTGTCACAAACTTTGACACGACTTTCATCCCTAGAAAGAAACTAATGAATGCAACAATACCCATTTGGTCAAAGATATCTAACATGATGAACTTCAGTACTAGCAACTTTTCTTTTTCAAGTGGTTTTCCTACTAACATCCAATAAGCTCATGGCATCAACGTAAATTTCACTATGAAAACTCTTCCAATTGTGATGTCAGATATTGAATATAGAGACAGTGACCGTTTAAATTTTAACAAGAACAGAAGAAAAAAAAAATGCCAAATGATATCATGCAGCGTTTCTAGAACTTGCCAACGAAGCAAGAATGCTAAACACTTGCAATGACAGATACTCAGTGGGGGATAGGCTGCTTCACCATTAATCAACATTCTGAGTGCTCCCATCTGGACCTAATTCAGTCCAAAAGATAAATTCTACCTCATTGTAAGTAATTTGTGACACCAAGTAAATTGCACATGTAATTCTACCTTATTGTGAGTAATTTCTGACACCTAGTAAATTGCACATGTACATGAACTTTTATTTGTTCTTTCAGCAAAGTCCTGCAGAAACCAAGGCAAAGAGAAACTAGACAAGCTGGAGCACAATTGTGGCATATATTTTGAACGACCAGTAGCTAGGACAAGGAATGCTAAACAAGATAACCAATAGATAATGACTGGAGAATGTCAAAGTATGAGCAGCTAAGACAATACTGTTTTCAGCTAAATGCCATCATCAGCATTTTTATCTTTGTATATTAGTATCAGACCGACAGCATATATGATGCTCTTCATGCCTGGAAAACTAGGAATCACAATGATATTTAGCTGAGGAAATGCGTACAATCTAATGAATTACATTCAAATAAATCAGAATTCCCAAGTTTAGAAAATCAATCAATTTCGCTCAGGATCAGTGAGATGAAACTCAAAACCATCCTTGTCCAATCCAGAACACTAGAATTGGAGAAAAGGAAAAAGAAAAGAAAGATGGAAAAAATATAGCCATTTCAGCCTTGCAATGGCTGCGCTGAGGTGACACGGTTGCTTGGTGTGGTCATGTAACCATTATAGAGGGGTGATAGAGTATATAGAGGGGGTAACATAGTTGTTGCAGATGGTGGACTCCTCGATAAGTTCATAAATTTTTCTTATGAAAGGAACATTTTAGTGCAGTTTATATATAGCATGAACTCAAGAACATAATAAAAACCCATATCTGGTAGTAGAAATTTTATGTCTTTTAAAGATCTTGGATTCAAGTCGAAACATGGTTCCTAATAGTTAATAGAATCATTCATGTTTATTTATAATACATTTTCAGATCTCAAGTCAGTTAATTGCTGCTTTAAATATGAATGAGTACTTAAGATAACAAACTGGTTTCCAAGTCAATTAATCAACTAACTAACTTTTTTTTTCTTTTTCTTTTTTTAACAATCATTTCAAACTAACTAGGCTTATTTTTTCAAAAAGCCGTTTAGACGAAGACTAAAACCAATATATGCTGTAACTTTAGCAAAGCAAGAGAAGTATTGAGAGTACCGTTAAGATAGACGAGACATTTTTGAAGGCATGAGTTTTAGATATCTTGGATCTATTAATAATTGGAAGGAAAGAAAGATCAATGAAAAAATTATTTCATAAAGACAAAACGAGATGACTAAAGTGATCATCAGGAGTCTTTTCTGATTGTTGCATGCTCTTTCCACTAAAAGAGAACTTCTAGACGGAAGTGGTCAAGCCAGATTTATTTAAAGGTCAAAATGTGTGATAGTTAGGAAACAACACATACAAAAAATTACTGCTGCTAAGATTAGGATGATGAAATGCATGTTAGGTATTTTGAGAATAAAAATTGTTTACATTCATGACAATTAGGTCAAGCTTTGATTTTAAAAAAAAAGGTGAGTGAAAATTGTCCAAAATGATGTGAAGATAATCAAAAGAGATATGAATTCTCTGGTTAGATGCAAGTTGACTATGATTAGTAGCATGAGAAAAGATTGAAAAAACACCTAAATAATCTTAATTGAAATAATGAAAACAGAATCGATTGTTCTTAGTATGACTAGTGATGTTGTCTTAAACACATCTTAATGACACAAAAAGATATATTTAGTTGACCCTAGATGGTTGCGGTCATTACGATTTATTGTTGTACAAGCAACTGAAACAATTTGCATCAAAGATTGAAATTTCATACCGTATCGAAATTTTGAGACTTATTCGGTACGGTATGGAATAGTACTGTATACCGAGCGGTATATTTTGGTATACCGCTCGGTATATATATATATATATATATAAACCGCTCGATTTACCTCTATGCGGGGCAACGTCACCTCTCTTCTTGGGCAACGTCGCAGGTAAAAAAAAATATTACGACGTCGCCTCCCTTCCCGGGCGACGTCGCAGATTAAAAAAAAAAATTGCGAGATCGCCTCCCTTCTCGGGCAACATCACCGAGGCGACGTCACAGATTAAAAAAAAAATTTGCAGGCGACACCACCCGAGAAGAGAAGAAAAAAAAAAATCTTCGCCTCTCCGCCCCACGACACCGATGCCTCTTCTCCTACGCGCATATGAGAAGTCGCCGACGGACGAGGAGGAGAGCGGCGATCTCCAGGTTCTCCCTTTTTTTCCTATTTCTTTCTTCCCCTTCTCCCTCTTCTTTCTCTCCCTCGGTCATCGTCGATGATAATGCCTCAATTGACAGTACTGCTCGGTAGCGAGCGGTCCATGTAACGGTCTGCTGATGGACCGATACATATCACCCGATACCGACGGTATCATTCGGTATTGCAAACCTTAGTTTACATAACAAAATATGATAAAGGTAGCAAAAAGAGATACAATTCAAAATTGGACATATTTTTCATCGTACTGTGAGAAACACTAGTACTTCAACATTAATTAAGTCATGATAAATAGAGACATCAGACAAGGTGTAAAGATAAACCTTAACAGCATATGCAGTTTTTGTATATAGACATGATGATAAAGAATAAGCCGATCCATAGTAAATCAGTAGTCAGCTAAAAAGAATTTTCCATTGAACATGTTATTAAAGCAGGAACAATAATTTTGAACTGTCTAATAATGCTCAGACCTTATTGGATACACAAGAAATAACAATTATGGCCACATTGCATGATAACATTGGTGCCTAAAACAAAAGATCAATCAGGTATTAACTTTTGATTACAGGCAGCAACTGCAACACAACCTCCAACTTAGAATATTCCAAGAATTTGAACCTATTAGCTACATAAGCACCATTAATTCACCATGCTTCAGCAAAAGTTGATCCAGATGACTAATGTCTTATATGACTGTGTTCAAAATCACTGCATCATTCAATATGGATATCTCAAAGTTATACTATTTTCATTTTTTTTTCCAAGAACGTCATGTTATACCACTCACCATTTAAAATCCCATTGGCAGAACTCTTTCAGAATTTGCAGACATTGAATGAGTGCATTGACCAATTTCCGAATCAAGGATAGAAATTTGGAAGCTTCAAGATGAAAAAAAAAGGCCCTCGATTAATTTACCAAATAGTAAATTGGCAGTTCCCATCTTTGACAGTGACTAATTAAATGTTCTCAGCCACCAAATATAAAGGTTGGCTGACATATGAAAAAAATAAGTATATGTGCCACTTGATGCACAAGAAATGTCCTCAAAAGATATCATAGAGCTGAATTTTGCATCTTTCCAAAGAAAATGTCACTTCGTATGCCATAAATGTTCATAGTTTTTCCGAGAGTCAAAAAATAGGTAGCATTACCCCCACTATTCTGCACTCAATATGTTGAAGCATCAAGTTCTAATTTCTCAAAATCATTATAAAAATCCATAAAAATCGATAAGAAAATTGAATGGAAAAGGGATGAATCTATAAAATACTTATATTAACCTTATTTAAAATAATCATAATTATATAGCCCTAGTAGCATTTATTAAGTAACAATGAATGATGATCTATATCTAGGTCATTTTACACCAAGATTAGGAATCTCAATTTTTGTGTTATGATGCAACTTGAACCCATAACAGGCCTTTAAAGCTTCAGCTTGAATGAAGGCCCCAACCTGCCCTGTTTTAGGACTGTTTGACCCTTTATTTAGTTGAAGTAGAGTGGCGCACACTTGAATGGGCCAACTAGAGTATGTAACCTAGGTGGTGATGCGGAGACTTTTAAAGCTTGCTTTCAGGTTAATCTTGATCAATACAGCAGCTGGCACATCTGATATCTCACTTCAACTGGAAGTCTTGTAGTGTCTTGTTCCCTTGAGAACTTCACTAGAGAAGAGAAATTAGAGAGGTAAGGATGAAAGAGACCTTACCACATCAAACAAGAGAAAATATACCTGTTTGGTCTGAAAATAGGGCCATGGGTTAGTCAGTCCATAGGCTTTCTAATACTGTTTATAACTTGTAATTTTGAAGAAAACTCTAAATAATGAAAGAATAAGACCAGTTAGGATTTGGGACAAAAGTAACCCCATCTCCATATGAAGTGTCATGATCAAGAGGCATGCATGGATTTTGTTCTCTCTTTTAACTTTCATTTAATTTTGCTAGTTTAGATTAACTAGATTAGCCTCTTAGTTTCTTCTCATTGTTTCCTATTAGTCTATTCTGGTCCACAAATTTCTCTTTAGCAGGTTCACCTGGAAGACAAAACTGTGGTAGTTTGCCAACCAATATAAGATGATACATTTGGTGCCATGGGACAGCTACTTTCTAAAGACTTTCAGCAAAAGAGGGGCAATGGTACAAAAGCAGAAATTTTAATAGAATTTGACAGAGAAAACACCATCCAGAATCCAGCTCTGAATAAGAACTTCATAAACAGAACAGTGTAGGTAAAATGGAGACTGGACTAAAGAATGAAATCCACTAAGTTCAGAGGAGAAATAGGGTTATTCAAGGAACCAAATAAGTAAACAAAACCAAAGCGAAACATTTAGGGAGACCATTTATCATGACTTTTTGTCTTCCCATGTGAAAAAATGAGCTCTCCCAAAGGCCCATTTATTTCACCAAAATTGAACCATCTACTGGACTTCAATGAAAGTAGCCTGTGATCTTGTGTTTGGTTACCAAATGAACTAGAACTAGATCCAGAATGACATAAGTTTAGAGAAAGTGGAGTTGGTTGGAGGAAGATTGAAAGTCATTTGCAGAAAGTGGGAATGACAGACTGGTCTAATTTAGCTTTGCGGAAGTCCGCAATCCACACCATCCTCCTTTTCGCCACATGCTATAGGCTGCTCCACCTCCTTCCTCCTGGACCTCTTTGTGCCAAGCCACTCCTGTGATTTTTTTCTGCTCCTCAACCCACAGGCACTGTGGCCTCGCCTTGCAGGCAGCCTCCTTCCGCCCGGCACCTCTAGATCCCTTGAAGAGTCTTGGTAGAGAGTGATCAGATTCTCCTAGATCACTGTTATTTTTTGAAGATCTGAAAAGACTGTTCATCTTGCTCAATTCTATTCTAAATCTGATGGACATTTGGAAGCGACATAAATACTTGATGTTTCTCCTTTTGTTTTGATCTTTCTTGCTCAAAACATCAAGCATATTTTCTTGATTCATCTAAAGTTGTGAAAATTATTTGTTATTCTGGTTCAGATTTGAGATTCAGTTTCAAGAGCATATTCCAATTATGGTAGTATGAATTATTAAACTATTTAATATTATTTAATCATGATTTCTAATTAAACCTGTGGTTGACTGGTTGATCCACCTTAGTGACGTGATTCTTGGCCAAGTTGCTGCCCAATTCAAGCCTGATAACTATGGGTAAAACAGTGAAGATAGGAAAAAGAAATAATAATGCATAGTGGAGGATAAGATTCAAGTGGTTCAGGCAACAGGTCCACGTCCAAAGAAAACCTACCACTAAATCCGATAGAAATGCTCCATTTTCACTATTCTAGGGCCAAGCAAATGTAGGACACTTCCAACATATTTAAGGTAATGCAAATTCAATGTGTGAAAAAGAAACCATCAAAAGCCAGTTTCGTATAACGGAACTAAACTTCATCTTGCACTACCCTTTGTTGATTATAGAATAATCTTGTAGAGGGTCTTCATGAATACTTAAGGTACCTCCAATCATCAAATTTATATTAATAAATGGAAACTTCAAATTTTATCTTTAAACAACCTAATCTCAAGTGCATTAGCAAGTTTAGTTTCAGCCCGAGGTACCGAAACCAAATCAATACCAACTGAAGCTATCGTGGGATCATTTTTAAGCTGTTTCATAATGTTGACTGAAACAAAAACCTCTAGAAACTGTTAGGACCCTTTTTCTGAGCTTTTGAATAATGTTTATTGAGTCCATTTAGTTCAGTTGTTTATTGAGTCGTTTTGGTTCAGTTAGAGTCAGGTAGAGATTTATTTAATATTTATTTATTATTAGAGTCCAAGTCCAAGTCCAAGTGGACTCTGGGTGAAACTCTATAAATAGTGATGGAACCATTTCTTTTCGAAATCAATCAATCAGTTAATCAATGAAATGTAATTCCACTCTGTGGACAAACCCTAGGAGACCGATCCCCTCGAAGTGATCAAGGAGGGCCGATCCCCTCGAAGCGATCAAGGAGGCCGATCCCCTCGAAACGATCATTATCATTCCCTTTTCTCCCCTTTCTTCCACGATAAGACTTTAGGGTCTTATCATTTGGTATCAGAGCGATGATAAGACTTTAGGGTCTTTATCATTTGGTATCAGAGCATCTCCATTTTTTCGATTTTTTTTACGATAAGACCTTAGGGTCTTATCAGAAACTTAGTTGCAAATGCTACTTACATTTATTGGTCCTTCTCAAACAAGTACTGACCTGATTGATTCATTTTCATACACACAGACCTTTATAACTTAAAGGTCATATTTATAATAAACCATGAATCATGAAACAAAATCAAAAGTTGCCCGTGCCTTTGATTCCTCAACGCTTTGTTCAAACCAGCTTATATAAACATTCTTCAAGCAGATGAAACAACAACAATCATTTTAGACAGAAAATATCCAAATGCATCTCAGTTTTAAACAGGCCATCCTTCAAAAGTTGATGAATTTCAAAGAACAGTTATTTATTCAGATGGCTCTATGAAATGATTCAACATGATATATTGAAAACTGAAAAAAATGAAAGTTCAGTCAGGATAACAATCAGGACAACAGTGGCAAGGAAAGTTTCGTATCAGCCTAACTGGCTGGCTACAAATTAGGAGGTCTGTATCACACTTTACGATTCACAGAAACAAAAAAACAAATCCCTGAATATCCTTCAAAGTTGAAAAATCTAGACAATAGGGTAAAGAACAGAAAGAAAAAAGACAAATGGCATGCTGTTTGATTACAATTTGGGAAAGAAAAATCAACAGAAAAGGCAAATAAAAGTTATATGGGCATTAAAATCAGCTAATTACATCAGAAAATAAAACTGGCCAACAAGAACATTTCTGTGGAGGGAAACAATTCTCTGTGACAATCATCAGAGATCTCACATCTTTCATATATTTCCTACCTCCATATCCATCATCATGACCAGTAAGATTAAACTATAGTGGCATCGAGTCTCTAGTGTTATTATTTTTCTTTGGTCCATCCTATAACCGTATCAAACAGCAGTCAAACTAGCCAATGTATCGATCCTGCATTAACAGATATATGACCTACACCCCCAAACCATCTGTACCTACTTTCTACTCAATGCCGCAACATATGAGCATACGAAACATACGACGAGAGAATCAAACTCGCACCTCTCGTTGCGGTTGAGGCGCGCCCCAAGATAGAAAGCAACAGACAAGAGCCAGGAATCGCTGTGCACGGCGATGAGCGAGAGCCAGTCCCTTCGTTCCATTCCATCCCTCGCGAAATTGATCCCTAGGGCCGGCTCCGGCAGCTCCGGCGGCACCTCCTCCGCCGGGAGGTTCACCTCCCACGAGTCGTTGGGGTGACCGTACAAGCACAAGTTCTCCTTCTCTGCGCCACCAACATATCCGGTCAAGAAACGAATCAGGTCGGATCTGCGCGGAAAAGGCCAAAGGAGACTCACCCGGATCGCATTGGGCGTAGAACTCATCGACATCTGAGAAGTCATCAACAGGCCAGTCAGCCAAGGAGGAAGAAGGAGAAGAAGAAAGGGATCAAGAGAAGGGGAAGAGGACCGTTGGTGAGGGCACGGATGATGCCGGCGCGGCGGCCGCTGTAGTCCTTATAGATCTCTTCGACGGAGCGAGGGGCGGAGGAGATGGAGCCGACTTCCATGGCGGCGGAGGCTGAGATTGAGATCGGAGGCTCACCGATTCGGTGACTATCGGTCGATGGAAGAAGACGTTCGGGTGGAATGCATGCAGAGAGCGGAGAAGACGAGCGAAGTGGAGAGAGAGAGAGAGAGAGAGAGAGAGAAGGGTGGGGTTGGAGATTGCCCTTTCGCTTTGCTAATTATTAAATGCGTTTTTCTCCTATCTCTTTTGTTAATGTAATATTAATAAAATAAAATGCATTTAATTGCTAATAAAATAAGATGCATTCACAGAAATAATATAGTAATATAGTTGTGTTGGATTATGTGACAGTGATGGGTTTAAATCAGAGTTGATGCCAACTTTATCACAAATTTCCCCTAAGAAAATAATTTTAATCTTATGATCTCACATATTACATATAATTATATAATTTGGTATGGATAATTTTTCTAAAAAAAACCCATATTTTAGGTATTTTTCAATCGATATCTCTATGTTGCTTTTTTTTCCAAAACCCAATGATTTTAAAATATCAAAATTACCTCTCAAAAGTTTTTTTTGCTTGTTAGAATATTTTTGTCTATTATAGTATTTTGGCCACATCTGATCTATCTAATATGGTAGTATAGGAATAGGGCTAATTACATATTACCCCATCTAATTAGATCTCTTTAGCATCTCGATCTCTAAACTAAAAAATTTACATTTGAATCCTTATAGTTATAATTATGAAAGTAAAATATCTAACTCTATTTACTCTGGTGCCATTGATTTTATTAACGAAAATATAAAAATAATTAAAAAATAATAATTTTAATATTCTAATTGATGATGATGGACGATATCAATAGTAGCAGACAACAACGTTGCTGGGGGTCGTGGATGATTGTTGTGAATGAGAAAAGCGACAACGAGAGATGAGAACCGTTGGACAATTGCGTAAGTGCCAATGCACATGCGGAGCAGCCCTTTAGCAACTCAGCAACTGCAATGACATCAATGCAGATGCAGAGCGACCCTCACCCCTTTCACCATTATTCTTCTCATACACAATAGCTACTCGTGATCCCCAACAATATCATCATTCGTCACCACCGACGTCGTCCACCACTATCAACTTAAATATTAAATGGACGACGTCGTCCACCACCGACGCCGTTCATTTACTCTAATGTCATCGATTTCACTAATGAAAAAATAAAATTAATTGGTAAAAATATAATTTAAATATTCTAGTTAATGATGATGAACGATATCAATGGTGGCGAACGACAATGTCATTGGGGGTCATGGGTGACTGTTGTGGATGAGGAGAGTGACAACGAGAGGTAAGGGCCGTTAGACAATTGTGTCGGTACCAATGCAAATGCTGAGTAGCCCTTTAGCTGCTCGACAACTGTAATGACGCTAATACAGATGCAAAGCGACTCTCACCTCTTACCATTATTCTTCTCATTTACATCTATCACTTGTGACTCCTAACGACATTGCCATTCATTATCACCAACGTTATCCGCCATCATAAACTTAAACATTAAAATTATCCTTTTATCCATCATTTTCATGCTTCTGTCAATAAAATCAATAATGTTTGGATAAATAAAACTAGATGTTTCACTTTTATAACTATAAAATTTTATATAAATTTTTTAAAAGTTTAAGAATCGAGATGGTAAAGAAATCTAAGTACTGAATTAATCTATATTTAACCAATAAGAATAACACTACTAAAATAAAAATAAAAAATTAACTTATTACAATGTTTCAACTACCATAATAAAAATACTATAAAATCTACCCACTATAAACACTATCGAAAATACAGTAAACAACCTATTCGCATCAGACGAAAGCTTTTATAGCATTTTTATTAGCTGTATTTTGTTAAAAGATTTTATAGTATTTTTATTAGCTGCATTTTGTAAAATGACCTATAAAAATATACTGTAAACAAAAATACAGGATACTGTATTTTTATTAGCTGTGTAAAATGACCTATAAAAGTATACTGTAAACAAAAAACAGTATACTGAAATTGCTACAAATACTAAGTATGAGGTTCAAACCAATTGAAATAATTAGCTATGATCAAAATTTTACTTGTAAACTTAAGAGAGGGTGGTGTTCAGTTGCCTATAAAAAATATCAAAGCAGTTAATCAGAACTTGATATATATAATGATTGATTACAATATAAGACCATATAATTTTTCTGATATATATAAACAAAGATTTACCATATGACATGATATCCCAACAGCCTCAAAGCATAAAATAATGAAAGTTTAGTATGTTATGTGATGGGACCATTAATAGTATGGGCTTAAGGCACATTGAAGCAATCAACATCAAGCATCTTCAACATTCAAGATCAGCATACTCACATTATTGCATTTTATAGCTAAAATGCTGATGTGCTATTCCAATTTTTGTCATTTTACACACAGCTAATAAGCTTTTATTCCAACTATTTGGGGACGGCTGGAGACTTGAAAACAAGTCCTTGTTCTCCTTTAATTAAAATCTTGGAACAGCAGTTCTTCTATGCAGTCTTTGTTCCTCCATTTCATTCATCCAATCCGAGAGCAGGAAAAGACCCTTGTAACCATAGTAAACACTTGCAATGATCACCATAAATATCAGACTAATGATAAGACCTCGCTGTATGGTGGACTTAATTATCTGTAAAAGAAAGGAAAAAGAAATATTTGATCTCGTGACTTTCAACCTGTAAAAGATGACAAGAGTATTAGGGTACAAATAAGTCACCTGGAACTTTGAGGCTTGTCTGGCTTCTTGAATGCGTTCGCGTCTCCTCCTGCGCTTGGAAACACTTGCTACTTGCACAATTGGGTGCTCCTGAAAGAAAGTAGGCTAAATATGTGGACATTTCAAGATAGATTACAGTTCTCCACTGAATGCTCATATTGAAAGAACTCATGGAAAAAAAGGAGAGCAGATTTTTTATGGTATTCTCGATACATCATGGCTTAACAACAAACTAGCAAGAAGCTGCTGATTTTGAAATGCAACAATGTCATGACCTTTTTGTTGAAAACAAGATTAGCAAAGAGTAGCAAATGTATTTATGTATCACAATCAATTGTTACATATCCAACACTAGAGCTAATACCTGTGTAACTTTGGTGCCTCCACAAATAATCTCTGAAAAATTAAACAAGAAATTTCCACAAGAACATATGTATATGTATATATACATATACATATATATATGTATGTGTGTGTGTGTGCGCGCGCATTCAAGTTTCAAAAGGAACCTTCTTGAGTAAGAAGTATATTTTTTAAGTATATATTTTGATAAATCACTACTTCCACAAATAAGTTTGCATAAGCAGTTAAGAAGAAAACATTTTAACATACGAAAAACTATGAGATAGAAAACTTATAGTGGCAATCAACAGTTTGTACCTTGGTCTCATTAGCTTTACGGTGCTGCAATTCATATTTCACAACATTGGCTTTATTTTCACATTCTGTACTGCATGCAAGAATACCAACTCCAAACTGATTTTTTGGAATATCTTTTGGATCACGACCAGAACTGCGGTATGCTTTTAGGACTTCTTGACATAGCCACTCCTTCTTCAGATTGTTACATGCACAACGGACATTCACCTAGAAAGATATTATCGACACAAAAAAAAGAGGTCAAAAAGAAAAGTAGCTAAGATGCTTATGAGAAAGTGATTTGAAAAGAAGGTTGCAACATGAAATTGTCTTAGCCTCTTAGGACACATCTGATGCAAGAGGAAGAGCATTAAGCAGAATGCACATTAATTTCCCATAGAACTCCTTATCGTTTTTAACTGAAAATTATTTGTATTGCAGTATCTTTTCCACATTACCCAAATGGAAACAAGTAACTAGTAGCCCATGACACGACTTAAAGGTTCAGTCCAAAAACCATACTGCTCCTTGAGAGAATCGGTATGGTTGACTGTTCCATGTATCATATGGTCCTGTGACGATCACGAAGTCAAAGGAGGAGAACGAGGAGATGAAGTCAAAGAAGAGGAGGAGGAGGAGAAGATGAGAGAGGAGGAGGCGGACAAGGAGAAGATGTGATGATACATAACAGTAGGAGGAGGCGACACAAAGGGAAGGAGGAGACAGCAGCAATGCAGTTGTGATGAGGCAGCAATGATGGCAGGAAGGTGAAGGAGGCAAGGAGGGAAAGAGATAAAGAGAAGGAGAGATGGAGGGAGAGAAATAGAGAAAAAAAGAATAAAAAAGGGATAACAACTGTGACAGCTGTCATAAATTAAAAAAGAAATATATTGGTGCCTGATTGTGTGCTTATTGCCTTGTACCGAAGACTTTATCAGGCCATACAACTTTAATTTCTTCATCTTTCCTTAGTCTCCTTATTGTTAATAAATATTTTTTTATCTTCATTTTACTGCATCTAATATTACCTACATCCCTATTGTTTCTTTCATAGCTTTAACAATTCAAAGTATATCCTTATGCTGACAGTTGATTAGAACAATTCAAAAAAATGACCTAGTGGTACGTCAACACCTCTACCATGGTCCATGGGTCAGCATAGCATGACCGATACTTCAACATGATACATTCTGCCCTATGCCACTCAGTATAGCAAACTTAGCCACATAAGAGTGCAACCATCAAAGTATTTAGTTAGAGAAAAGACAGAAGAATGTAGTCAATGTGACAAAAAAAATCTTAAGCCACCAGTGGTTCTCCCCAAAATTCGAAGAATGCTACTGTATAACAGATGCTCTCAGAAAACTATTGGTACTAACTAATGTAATTCCTTTTCTTAAAACAGACTCCATATATATTGCCTCTGTATGCAGTATAAAGTTCTTTTGACTCGATATAGAGTACAATCATGAATCCTGCAACAAACCACTATATTACATTATCTGTGTGTTTGCTTCTAATAGTTCACACCTCGCCTAAAGCAACCCAGTGCATTACTAGTATCTAATAAATCTTAACTTGTTGTGCTTGTTAATTCTATTAATAAATATCACCATAGAAAAGAAGCCAGAAGACACAATAGATACCAAATCTTTACCTTTTTGTTGCAGTGATCAACTGATGGGCATTGACCAGGATGGCATATTTCAGAGCATAAGTGAGGGCAGTTTGGTAACTTTCTGCAAATGTAAAATTCCATCATTAGGATTACATTGGAAAACAGTCAGTTTAAGCAAACAATAAACTGATACCATATTATATGATCATGTGACAATGAAAGCAAAACCTATTTTCATTCATCATATTGAAGATGAAAATAACGAAGCAATAGAAATAACGGGTTAATGTAACCACCACCTCAAATAGGAGGCTATATCGCATCCAACCTACATAGGGAGCAAATATAGATCTGCTTAAACATTACTTAATGTAAAGTCTTAAAGTGATAGAAATTGTGCAAATAATTCCCAAATTATGACACGACAAGACCCAACATTTCTCAAGAAGATGATATATTTAATTTATGGTGCTCATGATAATACACATGCTATTCCAAGTGTTCTATTTCCCTCTGATATATCACTTTTCTTAATATGAAATCCAACTCCAAATTCTTGATTCTTGGACACTCATCTCACATCCCATATTTACTCGAACCTCTTCGCTGATCTTCATCTGATTGAATGCCATTGCTCAAAGAAACCTCCCTTTTTTTCTCCACGGCAACAGAATTCTATCTCCACCTTCCACATAACATTTCTAAGCATATATTCCCACATGTTTGTTCCTCTAGTTTACTGACAATGTACTCAGTTTCCACAAAATAAAAATCAATGAGTCCTAGATAACTAGAATAGTCACTGTAGAATAACTAATAATAGCCTATTGAGGTATTAAATATACAATTTCAGACTTAAGTCATACAATCTAGATATTGTTCTATCCCTAAAGGATAATAAAGCATATGCTAATACCATTTTCAAACAATATAAGACTTAAACAAATTTTAATTGATTGCATATAGTAGTCAATTCATCATATAAAGAAAGCATCAATTTAGCTATAGTGGTTTGTCACAAATGGCCCCTCTCAATGAAATGGCATCTTGCCGGATTAGTTAATGCATAGTCTAAGAGTGGGCATGATTAGGTCTGAGTTTGATCGTGCTCAAAGCTCAGCTCAAAATTAAAGTCAAGTATAAACACTAATCAAGCCCAAGAAATATAAGAAGTAATTATGCCAAATTAAGTGCAATTTCAAATAGAGCCGAAGATGAGTCCAAGTCAAATAGCTAGAAAAGTGATGATACTCAAATTCAGTCAGACATAATTCATGCCCTGAAGCACTTTGCTCATTAATAATTGTGAATTAAAAAAAAACTTAAATTACAAATAAGTTTGTGGAGGTGAGAATCGATAATTGTGAATTAAAAAAAAAACATAAACTTCAAAAACTAAGTTCTACAAGGTCTTGACTGTGCATGGTCTTCAATTACAAATGACATGCACTGCATTAAAGCCACTAAAATATCATAACTAGGTGTACTTTATGTTTGCTCAGGAAACACGAAACTACATGAATCAAATGAGATGGTAATTACAACCAACTAGATCCTAACAAGGAAAGCAAGATACCAAGTAATCTCAGAGCAGCAAACGGCAATACCTTCAACCTTATAAAGGAACTAACAAATAGTATATACAACTTACCTGTGACATGGGCCACCACATGAACGAATTCTTTGTTGCTCCTCATTGCTTAAGCTGTTATAGTGTATGCACTCAAAAGCATGCACCATGGTACCACAATGGCATGAACGCTTTACAAGGACCTTGCAAGGGGGACATTCACTGGAATGACATGGTAGAGGACAAGGATGTGGGCATGAAGGCTCCCTAACCTAAAGGACATACACAAGAACAACAAATTGAGATTTAGTAACAAATCACTTCAAGTGACAAAATAGTCGTTCTTTCCTGCACTCAAGTTTTCAGTTCAAGAAAACATTGAAGTACTAACTAAAAGAACAGAAATGCCTTAGTGAAGGTAATGGGATAAACAGAAGGTTGTTAAACCTTTTGGCAAGGAAGAAAGCAATCTTCACATGGCTCTCCTTGCTTAGTGACAGCATTTAACAGCAATTGATCTTGTTTTTCAGTATTAGAGTCTCCCTGTCCATACTGATCCAAGTTTGATGTCTGATTCTTCAGCACATGACAGGGTTTGGTGCAGTAATGGTTGCCACAGGACAGAAGATTTCCACATAAGTTCTGACAGGAAAACCGTCTCTTACTGTGGCAAAGCATCTAGAAAAAAGGGACCAAGTTAGAAAACATGAAATTACCAGCATGATCAGGAAATCTGAGAAAAGAAAAACATACTGCACGTTCTTCTCCAATATGTCGGCCAAAGCATGGAACCCATATGACTTCCTTGCAAGGAGGGCATGGTGATCCAGGTGCACACTCAAGATGCTTATTTAATTTCTTTTTTGTTGGTTTCAATGTGAACTCTGGGTTTGGAGGCGGAACAGGTCCATGACATCTAAAAGAAAAAAGAATGATAAAATTAGTAATCTAGAAGTAGTGGAGATTATTTAAGACAAGTCGACTTTCACATGAATAACTTGCAAACTTAAACAAACCTCTCTTTACATTTATGTCCACAAGAAAGTTCATCACCACATTCCAATCGACAAGGTGGGCAAGCTCCATAGTGGCATTTGTGGGACTGCCAAAATGAACAAAAAATTCATGTGGAACTTGATATAATTTTGAATTATATTGTGATTCTTAAAACACAATCTTGTAAGTTGTATATCGAACCAAATGAAGCAAGGACTTTACCCGGCATTCAGACTTGTGTCTACAAAGACGAGATATACGACATGGCCTAGAACATTTGGGTGGCTTTTGATTCTTTTCTGTGCCACAAGGTACCTGAATAATTATATCGAACAAATATTAGCATAAGAAGGCAAAATTTCACAAAAATATTGAAGTTGTCATGTTTAGGTATTTACCATGTTTCAAACTTTGGAGCTAATAATTTGATGGAACATTATCATTAAGTCAGAATGACATGTATTTTTTCTATTTGTTGAAAAAGGGAAAACTATTTCCACTCTGTCTATTTATCACGACATGTTGATCATTTTAGAAACAGTAATACATAGAAAGATGGTATTATTTGGAGCAAAAAAATATGTTTATATTCATATATATCTCATGCATACAAGATACCATAGATATAGACTCTCTTCTTGCATATGTAAGGCTACACCCTCCCCAGACTTGCATAGGTAAGTTTTGATCTCGACACCTGCAACTAATTTATATCTCACAAACTTGCTAAGTACATGCACTTATATGAATCAAGAATATTTAAATATTTCTTTATAGTTTCTAGGAAAGTCCTTTTAAGTCTCCCTTTAACTTTCATGCCACTAATACTAATTATCTCACTTCATCTGACCAAGGCATCTATAGGACTCATTAGAATATGATCATACCATTTTAGATGATTCTCGCTTATTTTGCATTCTATTATGGCTATGCTTGATTGTTCGCAAATTAATTTTTTTTTTCTATGTTTCCTCGTAGCTCAACATGTCCACTTGCTAAGTATTGACACATGAAGACAAGGTCTGCAATACCGAATGATACCGCTCGTACCGGGCGGTGTGGGCTGGTCCGTCAGCAGACACGGACCACCCGCTACTGAGCAGTACCGTCGATTGAGGCATTATCATCAAAGGTGACCAAGGGAGAAGAAAGAAGAGGGAGAAGGGGAAGAAAGAAATAGGAAAAAAAGGAAGAACCTGGAGATCGCCGCTCTCCTCCTCGTCTATCGGTGACTTCTCATCCGTGCGCAAGAGAAGAGGCATCGGTGTCACAAGGCGGAGAGAGGCGAAGATTTTTTTTTTTTCCTCTTCTCAGGCAACATCGCCGAGGCAACGTCGCAATTTTTTTTTTTATTTGCGATGTCGCCCCACATAGAGGTAAACCGAGTAGTTTACCCATATATATATATATATATATATATATATATACATATATATATATACATACATATACATATATATATATACATACATATACATATATATATATATACATACATATACATATATATATATACATACATATACATATATATATATACATACATATACCGAGCAATATATCGAAATATCCTGCTCGGTATACAGTACTATAACGAATAAGTCTCGAAATTTCGATACGGTATGAAATTTCAATCCTTGCATGAAGATATAATTTCTACAATTTCCAATGATATGCAAATAAAATGAAAATGTAACATGGGATTTAAAATTCACGGTTTAATTATCACCTCAAACAGAGTCTCTCCACATGAACATGAAATCGACACCATCAAGGGACAAGGAGCACATGCACCTCTAGAAAGAAAATGCAGACCAGGATTAGTGTTAAAACACCTTAAGTCACAATCACAACAAAAACAATATTCTGTTCAAGTATCTGAAATTGCTTGAACAGACACTGAAAGATAATACAAATCATTAGGCTACTGGAAAAGAGCATCACAAAATACTAACAATAACAGGTCCCTTGATGAAAAATGGATAACATGTTACAATGTTTAAAACTAAGAATGTTCTTAAATTACTGGCTAGCATAAGATAAACGAAAAACAAGACAAATGAACATCCAGAGAAATGCCAGCACAAAAAACAGAGAGGAATCTTTGTCAAAGTCAGCACACTACTATACTTAGAGGTATGGCCCATTGATAAGTATAATATAATTTAGTTTAGTTTCGTAACACTCAAATGCCAGGGCTTCGTGCATACATACCATAAAAAAGTTGGAATATATTTTTTATGCAATATATTTTTACTATCAAAGTGGCAAATTTAGATAGATTTGCTTCAAGGAAAATAACCATAAAACTTCAAGTCCAAATTACACCAATATACTTCAAAAGAGCAAGTTTGGATCCAACAAGAAGCACTACAAGAGAAATGTGTTTTTTATAATCAGCAAGATTAAAATTTTCATATAGACACTAAAATTATTTTTTTAAATATACTTCCTTCAAAGGCGGCGATCCCCTTAAAAACAGCATGCATGCAAGGAATCTGACATTGTGAAATATATACATGGAACTATGGAAGTATGCAAATTAAAACTTAAAAGGAATATAAATGCAAATGTGGGGACTCATTGAGGTACACATTCAAAAATACTTTTGACACTGAGGCAATTTTTTGCATTTAAATATATAAAGAAGAATAGGTAGCAATAAACATTGATCCATGATGTACTCTTGTGACTGACGAAGGAACTTCATAAACAGGATTGTTTCTTGTGTAATTAAAACACTTTCCATTCTACTGCTTCCCTTGAACAATATGTTAAATGACTGTAGAGTTATTTATTTATATGAGCATATGAAATTAATCATATATTCTGCTATTGCTTTCCCTTTGCAGTTTGCCCCATTATAAGATAAGGTTACCATGACAAATCAACAAGAGACAAATAAAATCATAAATCCATCCAAACATAGAACAATGTCATCAATGGGACACAGAGAAAGATACTAATACTAATCGAAGTACCTGTGACATGGTGAGGGGCATTTGTGGTTGTTGCATCTGAGCTTCCTGCTACATATCTGAAGTTTTGGTTAACGAGCATTTCTACATATTATTAAAGGAAAAAGGCCATAAGAAAATTCTGTTTCACACACCTCTGGGCAAGGTGGGCAATCACCATCACAGCAACGGCGCTTGCATGCATGGCGTCCACAATCCCTCACCTGCTGACATTTTCTCTCGCAGACCAAATCTTGATAGCAAGGAACCTAGATTAGGTCAGGGTTTAATTGTGCAATTTCAGCTACTATATACATGTATACTTGGTTTACCACAAATTTTCTATAGATTATTTGGAATTGAATCAACTTGTTCAAGAATAATTTAGCAATTGATCATATTCAGAAATGTTTTGATAAATGATACTACAAGATCATAAACATATTAATGAACCTATCATGAATTAATTCAATGACTACTAATTACCATAAGAATTAGAAGGTTACTACAGGTGGAGAAAGTTACTGTTACCAGTAATTTGTGAGATTAAGCTCTCCATCACTTCATCACAGTTACTATAACCCTATGCCTTGGCTAATACTGCCATTAATGGGCTATGCCCAGATTCAGTGAACCTAAAAATTCAGATCTTGACAAAAAGAATGTGAATCTACACCTTAAACTGACCATTATCGCTATCAAGATATTGTTCTAAGTTGCAACATGCATATCTTGTCTTCCGATTCCCAAGGGCTTTATTCCACAGGTCACTAAGGTGTACATTAGCCCCTAGCACCACAAATTTGCATAAGCACCTTTCTATTCTATCGACTAAGCTTTTGTCCAAGAGATATCTTTCCATCTCTTTGCAACTTTTTCCTGATAATTGTAGAAAATTAATAGATCACATAACCATAGCTTTTGTCTATCAATCATTATTAGCAACTCATTTCCCTTATGGTTGTGGTTCATATTTTTTTGCTAACTCCAATGTTATTGTAGCCAATGTTTTACCTTGTAATTAGATTTATCACTAAACAATTTGCTGATTCAATCAGCACTAACTCATCTGCTAACAACACACACAGTTGCAGGTCAGTTTGTTGATAAAAAAGACTCATGCTAAGTGCTAAAATTTTAAAATATTCAGTTTCCATAAACAACTATTTCTGATGTTTCTGAAGCTCTTTTATACATGTTCAAAAGCTTCAGTAAACTAACCATGCACAATTTGGTCTTTGCTGTCCAAGAAACCCTTGTATTTCACCATTGCATGACACCAAGAGAATTTCACGACAGCTAATTCAAGGTTAAACTCATGAAGGAAATACTTAACTTTTTGTAGCAGTCAGGGTTAAAGAATCCAATTCATATGAATGACATCAAATATGAATCCTTTACTCCACAACACTACCTTCGGCAACTATAAAATGTCAAAGAAGTCTGTGTTAGTTTAACTTTCGTGGCATTGCCACGAGCATGCAATATTATGGCCTCAGATATACATGAAATAGTTTTTTTTTAATTCACTGAAGTTCATTACCACTATAAGCAGGAACATTACACCCGAACAGCAATAAAATATCCATAATGCTGCACAAGCTTTAAGAAAAGAAGCCTATGACTTTATTAACTACCAACCTCCTTTTTCAAACCCCCACATCTGCAAGACTTCATGACAACCATCCTACAAGTCTCGACGCATGGCCCACGGTGGCACCTCTCATGACACCGATGAATCTTGCAACTCAGCTTTTTCTCACATGTGGATCCACATGTAGGCACATCCATGTCACAAGAAACACCCTTGTACTCCTTCTTCCCGCATGGGCAAGTCCTCCTTCCCTGAAGTGGGCAATCCCCACAAGGCCCAGAGTGACAACCTCGGTCACACACATGCTTGCCGCATCCAAGCATGCCAGTGCACCGTGCGTCACAACGGAATTCCCTCTCTGAGCACTCCCTCTCCTCCTTGGTCTTTCCACAGGCGCAGCTATACACCTCCCTGACCTGACATGGCGGACAGGGCCCCTCATGGCACCTCTCTGGGCATCGATGCGTCTGACAAGGTAATGGTTTGGGGCAGGGCTTGTTGCAAGAGAACAGCTTTTGCGCGCAACGGCGCACGTCTTCTCGTGACCCACAGAAGCAGCGGGAGCTGACAAGCTTGGGGCACGGTGGACAGGGACCGGGGTGGCAGAGGAGTAGACAACGATGGCCACATTGACCACGGAGGGGGCGGTCACAGACTTCTCCACAAGAATGTGGCAGGATCCACGGATCTGCGGGCGGGTCCTCAACCTTGCCGCAGAAGCAAAGATAAGATCTAGGAATCTGGGTTCTCGGGTAGGGGAGGCGGCACTTGGGGCAGGGCCAATCCGAAGAGGCAGCGGCGGCGGCAGCTGGGGAGGTGGCGGAGGGCGGGCGGTGAGACGACTGTTGAGCCCAGCTCTGGATGCAAATAAGGTGGAAAAGGGCGTGGCAGCCGGAAGCGCACGACCAGGTGGGGTCGCCGGGGCGGACGCGCTCGAGGCAGATGAGGCACGAGACCAGGGGGCCGCGCCCGGCGGCGGAGGCGAGGAAAGATCGGATCTTCGAGAGATCCGGCGAGGCCCGTCCTGAGATCTGGAGGTAGGCAGCAAAGATGGAGTCCTCAAGGGCCGCTCCGCGGCCAGCGGCCTCGTCCCCGTCGCTTCCGCTGGCGTCGGAATCGGAGAAGATGAGTTGGGAAGCGGGATCGGGTGTCGGCGGTGGTCGAGATCCAGCGGCGGCGGCCATTAGTGACGAGGAACCGCGCGGCTTTGGATCGCCGGCGAGGGGAAGCGAAAACGCCGGTCTCGCGAGCAATCGAGCCAGCCCCAGAATTTATAGAATTCTTCCGGAGCAGGTCGATTCGGTTCAAGTTGCTTTATGTAGCGTTAATATATATCGGTTAGGTTTTCGGACATATACATTAAAATGATCTAAATATATCAACATTAGGTTTATAAAAATTGAAAGGAATATATCGTAAAATTTGCATTCATGTAAAAATAGTTTTCTTTTATATTATTGAACATTTTTGATGTCTTTAGATCCTCTTTTTTTTTCAACAAAGGATAAGATAGGCTATTCGATATCTCCAAATTTTTATGATCAAGATTTAAGACTTTATTTTTTGCTAAGTCTATTTGATATTTATTTGATATGTAAGTTTTTCTCTATGATGATTTTATATTTCAATAAAACTATATCAAATATATATTTTTTACATCTCAAAGATTAACTATTGTAATTCACGATTAATATCAATTAAGATGAGATTTAAGAAAAATGCTAATAATTAACTTTTTTGCAATTGATATATGAGTTTCGATAGAAAATTATACATTTGGTATCTCCATTGTAGACTATCTTAAGAGGTACCTAAAAATTACAGTTGATCAGACTACTCTTTTGACAATGCAAACATCAAATTGTAGAACAAAATATCTAACCCAAGTTGAAAAAAAAATAATTATGCTAACGAATTATATTACAAACATTAACATCCTCCCTCACAATTAAAACAAACATATACAGGACATCTCAACAAGAATATCTTAGCCTACTATCTTGGCAATACAAATATCAAATTGTAGACCAAGACATTCAACTCAAGGTGGAAAAAGAATGATTATGCTGACAAATTATATTACAACAAGACATTAGCACCCTCCCTCGTAATTAAAACAAACATGTACAATATATCTCAATAAGAATGTCATACAAATTCAAATCGCATGAGCACTCTTACAGATTTAAACTTCATCCCTTTGCGATCAAAGAGTGGCACGGCACGGAAACCTCGTCTCAACTCTGATATGGGCAAGCAAATTTGGCCAGCGAAGTCATCCTTCCCTGACTTATCATGTTCATGGACTTCGATCCGTAGCAAGGCTAGCTCAGGCACAGTTAAGGGAAAGATGAACTCCTCATCCCAAACAGGTGTCCAATTATCCTCTACTGCCTTTGTTTTCTTCATTGTGGTATCAGCCGGAACCCCTGCTATCCCCACCTGTTGATCGATAAACAATTTGTTTAATATATTGGATTTGGATTGTTCTTCTTTTCATATTAGGTTCAAGATAGATGTTATCAAAGAGTTACATAGAGAAGTTCCAATGTACTGATCAGTACATTGGCAAATTAAAAGATGAGAAAAAAGTGATCATACATAGAAACATGGGGTTGAAGCAGTGAATATGGTTGTTCTTTTACCCTGGTATAAAAATCTGGAGGGGAATATGAATCAAAGTGGGTCTGTTTGAAGTCTGCATGCCAACCATCTCCCATGTATACTTTGACCTGGAGAAAATCTCAGAATTCGAGAAAACAATCTGAACTTCAGTAGAAGTGAAGATAATAGTGCAGAAACAAATCCCAGTATTAGTTTGAAAAAAAATAAATAAATAACTAAATCACACCTTCAAGGTTTTCTTTACGGGTAAATCAGCTTTGGGATCAAAAACATCATTATCTGAACCATGCTCTAGCAGAAAATCTGGTTTTTTTACATATCCACATCCTCCGTTGCCTTTATAAAATCCATGCATCAACCATAGTGACCTTCCATACCCCTATCAAAGATAAAGTAGAATATAACTTCAAAGAAAACCTAAAAACCACAGTATCTGAACATCCTGAAGAACAGAAAATTGATAACAATGAGCTCTCCTAGAGCTAATGACTCATTTTCCAGGCATTGATGAAGTAAATTGGTACAGTGCCCTCTACTAACATACATCTGATCATTCATGAATATCTTCTAACTTAAGGAATCAACTTATGGACCCATTATCTTATGAACTTAATATCCATCAGCTATCTCCCACATCAAAGTCATTACCACTTGTGTAAACTTTGGAACTTGATTTGCTTCTTAATTTTCCATGTCTACTAATGTATTATTAGTGACTATCTCAAAAGGTACTTTGAAACATATCATAATCAGATAAGCCATATCTGACTGCATAATTAGTTAATGAAACATAGTAAGTTAGATAACAACATGACTAGAATACCCAGTACATACACCAGTGATATCTCAATCTCACCTGCATATTAAATGCAACCATCTGAGCACCATGAATCCATCCAATGAATGGATTATAATTAGAAGAATTAACGCGTGTGCCTTTTGGATATATCCGGAGTAGATTTTTCTGAGTAAATCTACAAAAGAAAGAGCATATCAAGAAGCTTCCAGCAATTTTTCCAGTAGGCAAGACAAAATTGAGGTCAAGAAGCAAGTTGTATGACAAAAAACTGACAATCCCACACACAAAAGAAAATTGTTCTTTTGTCCCTTTTTTTTCTCCTCAAGAAAAAAAACTAATTTTCTTCAATAATCAAAAATAAAAACTGTACCAAGTTATCCAAACAAAAAACTCCAAAGACAAAGTGTACCTTACTAGATCTGACCCATGAGAAGGTGCTGCCTTCACAAGTTCCTTTTCACTCAAACTGAGACGCTTAACTTTATTGGGATCAACTCTTAATGCTTCGCTCATATCGCTCTTTGGTTTTCCAGCTTGAATAGTGATTAGACTTTTATATTCAAGTGGGGAACTCTGGGGCTTTTTCTGATCATCATCATCACTATCAACACCATCGTCCACATCCTCATGGTCATTCTGTTCAGTCCGACCATATTCATTCAGATGAAGGATTATACTTTCCAGAAATCAAATTTCTATATCTGTCCGGTGAATAATAATAAAAAGGAATTGCAATTTAGCAATAAGTACCTTTGCGTATTCAAGCTCAGTTTGAAGGTCTGGGACCTCCTTTCCCCATGCTTCTTCATCAGATTCCTTCTCCTCTTGGGTTCCATCATCATTTTCCTCAACATTTTTGGCTTCAAGATACTCTTTTGGCGGTTTGGTTGAAATAATGATCCTTTCCTTCAAAGCTTCTGGTGAAGGGAACTCTTTAAGAGATTCTGTGTCAGGGTAATATAGCATGTCCCCGAATGTTTCTACGACCATCTAATAGAAGCTTCAGTTAACTGTTAAAACTTTATTTAAAGTAAATCAAAAGTGAGTTCTAGGAGAAAAGAAAAGAAAAGAAAAGAAATGAAAAGATACCTCAGCCACTTTAGCCTGAAGATCAGGAGTAAGATGGTCCTCTAGAGTTATGATAACAGGATATGGGGATGCAGAAAAGGCATGTTCTTTGATGGACCGTAGGCATTTAATAAGCTCCACGGGAGAAGTCAAAGTCCTAGGAAATGAAAATAACAAAAAAATGAATTACAAGAGAAAAAGGATAAAGAAATATAATACATTTTTAGGCTCAACTTAGTTCATCTTTTGTTAACAAAATGCAGAATCCTGCATATTACCAATAATATACATCCTGAAAATGATCACCTTCAAAGGAAACAGAAGAAAAAGTTCATCTGTTGTATCGAACAGATAATCAAGGTTAGAGTAAAAACTACTGATATTGTTAAAAAATTTCACAAGCTGATAAAAGAAAGCAAATTGCTTATAACTTCATATTTCATGCAACAACTTGTTCTTTAGAAACCCAATAAAAAAAATTGATAATCAAATTTTGTTGGAAAATTTTTAGTGAGCCGAACAATGAAAACCGAAGGAAAAAATATCTTACTGATGGTAAAAGATATCATCTATGCACTACTTTCAGCCAAAATAAGCCTCCTCTTAATACAAAGAGAAAAACATAAGTTGTTGCCTAAGGAGAACTATATTCTCCAGGTCGATCAAACTATATTCACTAAATTCATATGCACTAAGTAACAAACTGATAATTTTGTTCTAAAAAATAATCCAAAATATTCAAAATGGCATTAAAGTCATAATTTTGTGTCGTGTCATGGGAACAGAAAAGCTATCTTTGTTAACAACCTGTGACAAGTATCTCTCATGGTAGTTACCCCTTTTATGCCTAGAATTGGTAACTTAAGTTTCAATGATCTAGAAATGCAGTTTTAATTGTACAAAACAAATTATTCCGCTCCATTTTTTTTCCCATTCTAACTGGATGATGCTTTCAAATGCATAAATTAGTCATACAAGTTAGCTTAGCTGCCTCAATTCTTCTGTCTACTTCAGCCTAAAATGCACCAGAGGCTTGTTTTTCACTGAATAGAAATTCCAACCTTGACGCTGCCTATGCATCCTCATTTTTATTCATTTTTTTTCACAATTGATGCCGACCCTGGACATAGACGGTGGATCATGTTAGGCAGTAAAGCTTTGTCAAAGGTTATAAACATGGATCACTAGTGAAGCTAAATATAGAAAATATTCATGTAGCTGAACCCAAATGGTTGAGATATCGAGGCTTGTTGTTTTTGTAGAAAATTCTGACCTTCGAAAGAAAACTTGGTACATAATTATTACTTCTACAATCAATCAAAAATGCTGTAGGTGGTTATATCTAGTTCAATGTGGAATCTGAGACATGTCATTTGACCTCCCTATTGAGGAGACATTTTGTAGAGTCTTCACATTCCTTATTCATGAGTTAGAAAAGGGGAATTAACCTTTTTGGATATCACACTTTTAATATATGATTTCTTCTTTGGAGATTAAGATTTGTTCTAAATAGAAAAAAAAATCTTTGCAGCTCCTTCGGCACATGGAATTGCAAATGGATCCTTAACTTTCATAAAAAACAAACTGCCAAAGTAGCTCCAAGCCTACAAAATAATCTAGTTGAATTTCACTTGAAAATTATTGTCCAAAGCTGCCTACAAAGGATTACCTTTATTTTGTGAAAATTGGATTTCCAAAATTATCACTAAAAATTTTGATGTATGATTTTACCTAAATTCAGAATTGCCTTGGGCTGTTAACACATGTTGTTGCCTATTAATTGGTTCGTGTCTCTCTGCTTGCAAGGGTAAGGCTGCATATGTTGACCCTCCCTAGGCCATTGGGTCATCTTTTACCTTCCATGATCCAAGTACTTTTTATTAAAGTCATTTGTACCATTCCCTACATTTCCTCTCAGAATAAGCACTGACAATCCAACCCTGAAGCTTAATGCTAACAATGGCAAATCATCACACTTTAGGAAGGAGCTTGATAATAGAGCCTTGATACAGTAAGTTAGAGTTGGATAGAGAAGCTAAATATTTATCATGCAGATTCTCCTTGAGATAAGAAAGACAATCGGAAGATAATCACGTCCTTGTGAAGTATGCAATTGGCATTACTACCAAAGAACAGCTCTTGTATTGGCTTCACTCTGAAACATCTAGTTATCTTACACCTTTAGAAATTTAATTCAGCCTCTAGCTTATTCTATATTTATCCAAGATGCTATGATCAAAGAAACAGTAATCAAAACAACTTTGAAGAATAGATAAGAATCCATGAAGTTATAACTGGGTGTTTCAATACCTTCCATGAAGAATATCAATGTCATCTTTAGTAGCATTGGGCCACATATCTAGCTCAATTACTCTCACACCATCCTGGAGTGCTTTTATGATTGGGACATCACTGCAATCACTGCTGAGCTGGTTCCCAGTCAAGTATGAATTATGTCCTGTGTAGATGTAATAATGGGACAAAGGAGCAGTCATATCTTGGTGAACCTGTTCATGAAAAATAAGTCGTCATATTAATTCACAAATAGACTGTTAAATAGTCATCATATAATAAGTTCATTGACTGTTTAGGTGTGAATTTCATTGCAAAAAACATATAAGTGGAGTATGCAGCAAGACATAAAAAGCACATGCTGATCAGTAAGAAATAGCAAAGATTTTGTTCACAATACTAATCGCTCCTTGTGTTACCAGAATGAGTCAAACTCCTAGGTCTTCAGCTTCACCGAACAAATGCTTAAGTAGCATGATATGGATATTAGGATGAGCAGTTAAAAGATGGGTTTTAATTCAGATGATGAGCAAAATTTTTACAATTATAGATCACAAGAGAGAAGGTTGCACTGAAGTACTTTAAAAACATTAAGAATGTCAATCTGAGGCCAACTTCTTAGAGCTAGTGCAAGATTAAATGTAGTAAAACATTGGTCAAGTTATGGACTTGCCATAGAGCATAAAGTGTTAGCTGGAAATTAAGAAGATCAACCTCACAATTTGCAGTTTAAGCTCATGTGACAAAAATGGGGAAATCTAAACAGAGAGAAACTAATCTCAAACAACAAGAAGAGAGAAAATTGTAGAAGACAGCTTCTCATTTGTATGCTTAACTCACACTTCAATTGAAAAAGAACAGAAAGTATTTACAGGTAACTTATATGTAGTTCATATTTCCTCTCAACAGAATGTCCTTAAGCACTCTGTTTATGTTACACAACCAACAAAGAGAGCATCAGTGGCGAGCTCATGATAAAACTTGACGCCCAAAATGAGTCCAGTAGGCATGAGATATTTCCAATACACATCAAACACTTGGATCTGGGGTGTCAAAAATAGATAGCAACTGAAATTCTTGGATGATGACTCAAACTCTTCAGGCAGACAACTTCTAAGAATGAGGAATGTTGAACAATTTTGTAACCTTGAGCTAATTGTATAGCAATATTCTGCTACTTTTAACTGTTCTGCTGTTGGTGTCTGTTAAGAAGGCAACATTGAAATCCTTTGGGAAGGCCATCTTTCCCACTCAGTATGCTAAAGAAGCAACAGTAATAGGAAGTAATTAAGGGCCAAGAAAAATATAGACAAATATTTTTCTAGAAAACTCAAAAAGGGAAAAACCACAAAACATAAGATCAAATCCACTAACGATGAGAATATGCAACAGTAAAAGAAAGTAATTAAGCACCAAGATATACAGAGACACTAATACTTATGTACAAAAACCAAAAAGGGAATAGCCTTTGTTATCAAGATTAAGAAACCTAAACACAACAGTAGTAGAACTCTCCAAATGCACAAGAAGCTGTCTCCATACAAGAACAGGAATGGCTTTCTTTATCAAGATTAGAGAAACTCATTGACAAGAAGAAAACTCAGTCTCCAAGAGCCCCAAGCATCCTTGTAAAAGAGAACAATAAAAACCTCTGGTCTTCAATCTTAAAAGAAACCTCCTGGTTTTCACAAAAGCATATGCACACTTTCCATCATATCTTTTCTTGTTACATCGGGCTCAGTAGTATTAACGACAATTTGATCTGACTTAACTGGACTACTTCTCATGGGACTAGTAAACCCCAGTAGGGACCCAACAAAGCCTCATAAGCAAACCGATTCCTTTTCCTCATATTCTCTAGTGGTAGCATCGATAGCAAAACTCGTATATAACGAAGCAACAATTGTGTGTTTCATGAGCATTCATACAAAATGTTATTCAGTCCTCATCACATCATATACATGAAAAATATCAATTACCGAAACACATCTACAATAAAGATCTCATCATGTTCATGTAGCTATTTACTAATAAGTTAGCTTAGGTGGATCATTCATGAAAGTAAAAAATGTAATTGAATTATTATCATAAACATATAAATATTAGTTATAAAAACACTTTTCAATAAAGATTTCATCGTTTTCATGTGTCTGTTATAACTATTTGTGAATAAGTTAGCTTAGGTTCCCTTCTAGCTTGATTTACCCTCTTTAAAGTGCCATCCACAGGTGCACTGGTCAATCCACTTCTTCTCGCACTGATTTCACAATTGCTTTTGTCCAACTACGTTCATGTATAAGCTCTTAGCACATTTATCCTTACTATCTTAATCCGTGTTTATACAGAACATTCCAATTCAATGCACATTTCTCCCAGAACATTGTCTCCAGTAGAGAGTAATCTACACCCACCATAAACCACATTGCATTTAGGCTGATTCATGATGCATGGGAATCATCTAGATGTCCATATAAAGCAGACTCAATTGGTCAAAAACGTAATTCAAGTTGACAAGTGCCAAGACAATGAAAAGAAAAGAGGAGGTTACCGTTACCTGAGATCCGAGGGGAGGGTTAAGCTCCTCAGAGAAGAGGTAGTTGTAGAAGTCGTCGACGGTGAAGGCCGGCTTGGCGAGCTTGCCGAGGAGGGGCTGGCGCTGGCGGAGCAGGAGGGCCTGCTCCATGACCCGCTCGGCGTCGGCGTCGGCGCCGTCGCCGCCCTGCGCCTCGGACATGAAGCTGCGGAGCTGGTCGGCGGTCATGTGGGCCGCGCCCTCGGCGTAGGTGGCGAAGGCCGCCCTCACGTCCGCCGGCGGCTGCGCCTCGCTCGACCGGAACCTCCTCGTGAAGCAGAGGCAGCAGGTGTAGCTCCCCATTCCGCGATTCCACCTCCTCCCTCTCCCCTTCCTCCTTCCCCCCGGCGGCCTTCCTCCTTGTCTTCGCGTTCTCGAGGGGGCCGAAAAGAGAAGCGAGCGAGAGAGAGAGAGAGAGACAGACAGACAGAGACAGGCATCGAGGTTGGAACGCGTTCCCAACCGTCGAAACGCTGCTGCTTCCGCGGCAGGAGGCCGTTCGAAGCTTCTATTTCGGAATTTATAATATAATAGTAATAGAAATAATAAT